CCATAATTGCTCAGAATAGCCTCAACCTTTGGGCTCAAGCCATCCTCATGCCTTAGCCTCCTGAGCAATAAGGACGACAGGCATGTGCCACCACACCCAGCTACTTTTTTTTTTTCCCCCCTTTCAGCCAGGGACTCACTCTATCACCCAGGCTGGAGCGCAGTAGCATGCTCACAGGTCCTGGGTTCAGGTGATCCTCCCACCTCAGCCTCCCAGGTGGTTGGCACTATGGGCACGCACCACCATGCCCAGCTAATTTTTTGTATTTTTGGTAGAGATGGGATCTTGCCACGTTGTCTAGGCAGGTCTCAGAAACTCCTGGGCTAAAGCGATCCTCCTGCTTTGGCCTCCCAAAACGCTAGGATTACAGTCTTGAGCCACCACGCCTGCCCATTTTCTTTTTTTTTTTTTAGATAGGGTCGCACTATGTTGCCCAGGCTGGACTACAGTGGCTATTCATAGGTGCAATCATAGTGCACTGCAACCCTGAACTGCTGGTCAGCTGCCACTTCTTAAAATGTTTCTCTGTCCCCTTCTCTGGTTCTGGGACTACTGTTGTGCATGGGGACTGTGCTTTGTCAATGCCTAAGTCCTGCAGGGCTTGCTGTCACTCAGACTCTCCCATACCAATACTCTCCTACACTTCAGTTTCAAAAGCTGGTAGTAAAGAAAAGAATGTTCCAAGAGCTGAAGTTCTGCTGTGATGAGACTGCCCAAGCTCCCCTGTTATCTATACCAAGCGATCTGGATGGCTTAGCTCTTTTTTTCTTTTTCTTTCTTTTTTTTTTTTTGAGAGGGAGTTTCACTCTTGTTGCCCAGGCTGGAGTGCAATGGCGCAATCTCGGTTCACCGCAACCTCCGCCTCCTGAGTTCAGGCAATTCTCCTGCCTCAGCCTCCTGAGTAGCTGGGATTACAGGCACGCGCCACCATGCCCAGCTAACTTTTTGTATTTTTAGTAGAGACTGGGTTTCACCATGTTGACCAGGATGGTCTCGATCTCTTTACCTCGTGATCCACCCGCTTTGGCCTCCCAAAGCGCTCGGATTACAGGCTTGAGCCACCGCGCCCAGCCCTCTTTTTTTCTTTTTTTGAGACAGAGTCTCACTCTGTTGCCCAGGCTGGACTGCAGTGGTGCAATCTCGGCTCACTGCAAACTTCACCTCTTGGGTTCAGGCGATTCTCCTGCTTCAGCCTCCCAAGTAGCTGGGATGATAGACGGGCACCGCCACACCTGGCTATTTTTGTATTTTTAGTAGAGATGGGGTTTCGCCATGTTGGCCAGGCTGGTCTTGAATTCCTCACCTCAAGTGATCTGTCCGCCTTGGGCTCCCAAAGTGCTGGGATTACAGACATGAGCCACTGTGCCCAGCCTGGATGATTTAGCTCTTTAAGTCTTACAGAAGTTGGTACCTTGTGGAAATGGGCTGGGGTGTTCTGGATGCCAGGTATTCTTCTGAGGTTGCTGTTCTCATAATTGCTGTATTCAAGTATGTCACCTAATTGAGATGAAATGCGTAGAGCACAGCAGCAGAGTGGAACCAGCTGGGCTGAGGAGGAAATGAAAAACATTTTTATTTTCTTTTTTCTGAGACAGAGTCTCGCTCTGTCACCCAGGCTGGAGTGCAGTAACTCTTATCTAGGCTCACTGCAACTCTATCTAGGCTCACTGCCTCCCAGGTCCAAGCGATTTTCCTGCCTCGGCCTCCTGAGTAGCTGGGATTAAAGGTGTGTGCTACCACGCCCAGCTAACTTTAATATTTTTAGTAGAGACAAGGTTTCACCATGTTGGTCAGGCTGATCTTGAACTCCTGACCTTAGATGATTTGCCTGCCTTAGTCTCCCAAAGTGCTGGGACTACAGGAGTGAGCCACCATGTCTTGACCAGTCTTGGTCAAGTATTTTATAGTTGAGTTTCATAACAACCCTATAAAGGAGGCATCACTGTCAATTTTAAAAACAAGTAAACGGAGGCCTAGGACAGGTAACCTCCCAAGATCATACTCCAAGGAAGAGGAAAGGCTGGCATTCAGGCCCAGGCCAGTAAACCCAAACCCCAAATGCCCTTAAGCTACCACAACAATCTGGGATTCTGAGGTACTTGAGTCAGCTGATACCCCTGATCTAAGCATCTGAAGGTCCCTAATTGTGGAGCCTTTCATGAGAACAAGCTGCTGGAGGGTAAGCACATATTACTCCTCGAGGTTGTACTGAAGAAGCCTCATCTTAGTCCCGCTATGCCATTGAGGCTACACTGGGTGATCACCCTTGGGAGGGAGATGCGTAGCTTAACTTGGTGCTAATGCGTCCTGGCACGGTGTTCTCCACTTGAGCAGCTGTGTGAATCCCAGAGGCTCAAATCATGCGACACACCGCCACCTACTGGCCGGCGAACAGCATCATCCTGTTGTAAAGTTGACAAACAACCATTTACAAATTTTCAAACATTTAAAATCCTCAAATCTTAATTTTTTTTTTTTTTTAAGATGTGGAGTCTTGCTCTGTCGCCAGGCTGAGGTGCAGTGGCGCAATCTCGGCTCACTGCCACCTCCACCTCCCAGGTTGAAGCCATTCTCCTGCCTCAGCCTCCTGAGTAGCTGGGACTACAGGCACACACCACCAAGCCCAGCTAATTTTTTGTATTTTTAGTAGAGACGGGGTTTCACCATGTTGGCCAGGATGGTCTCGATCTCTTGACCTCTTGATGCGCCCACCTCGGCCTCCCAAAGTGCTGGGATTACAGGCTTAAAAGACGTTTTAAAGATTTTGCCTTCCACTTTTCTTGATTCATTTAATCATCTGTTAAGCACCAAGCACCATGTGAGGTGTTGGAGTTTGGGAGAAGTCGAGTTTTTCTCAGAGGGCTTTACAGAACCAGCAGGGCAGAGATCCAAATCAAGACAGAAACAGGCAACTGGGGACTCAAAAGGGGGCCATTTTATTGGAGAAGGAAAGGCTCCACTGTGGGATGGTGGTCTGGGGCTGAGATTTCGAAAGACAGAGGGGCTCATGCCTGTGATCCTGGCACTTTGGGAGGCTGAGGTGGGTGGATCACCTGAGGTTAGGAGTTCGAGACCAGCCTGACCAACGACCAACGTGGTGAAATCCCATCTCTACTAAAAATACAAAATTAGCAGGGCATGGTGGCGCATGCCTGTAATCCCAGCTACTTGGGAGGCTGAGGCAGAACTGTTTCAATCAGGAGGCACAGGTTGCAGCGAGCCAAGATCCCACCAATGCACTCCAGTGTGAGCAACAAGAGCAAAACTCTGTCTCAATAAGTAAATAAAATGAAAGACAGGAGGGCTCTTGAGGGGGCGGGGGTTCATGTGATCCTCAATTCAGGACTTTCCACAAGCACAGGGAATGGCCACCAGGAGGCACTTTGGTGAGCAAAATATGGGAATGGGAAATGTCTCAGTGTGACTAGGGAGCGGGGCGTGAGGTGAGATCCAGCTGTGGGCCAGGTGCAGTGGCTCACACCTGTCATCCCAGCACTTTGGGAGGCCAAGATGGGTGGATCACCTGAAGCAGAAGTTCAAGACCAGTCTGGCCAAAATAGTGAAACCCCATGTCTACTGAAAATACAAAAAATTAGCTAAGCATTCTGGCAGGCACCTATAATTCCACCTACTTAGGAGATTGAGGCAGGAGAATCACTTGAACCCAGGAGGTGGAAGTTGCAGTAAGCAGAGGCAGCACCATTGCACTCTAGCCTGGGCAACAAGAGTGAAATTCCACCTCAAAAATAAATAAATAAAAAGATCCAGCTGTAGAAGGGGAGCATGCACCCGCTGCACAATCAACCATACCCTGGAGACCCTGGCTGGCCTGGTCTAGGACTTGGATCTTCGTCTCATGACAAAGCTGAGCCCATCAAGTGTTTCAAGGCAGTGAATAAAGTGACCTGCTGTATTTTACAAAGATGACCCTGCAGAGGGAGGATGGGATGACACGAGAAGCAGGAAAATCATTAAGAGATGGTTCTCAAAGTCAGGGCCAACAACCCTCTCAACCACAGCAGCAGTGGGGGATAGAGAGAGGTCGGAACAGAGGAGAGGCACTGAGGAGACAGACCCTGTGAGGCTGAGTGATGAGCTGGAGGTGGAGGGAGAGGCGAGTAGGAACATCAGGTGACTCCCAGATTTCTGGTGTGGCTAACCATTCCTGAACTGGAATAGAAGAGGCTGATTTAGAAGACAAGACAAAGAGATTGTTGTAAACAGGTTAACCTATGAGATTCTCAAAACCACAACTACTTAAAAAGAAGCTACTCAAAAATTTGTTGGGGCTGGGCATCATGGCTCACACCTGTAATCCTAGCACTTTGGGAGGCTGAGGCAGGTGGATCACTTGAAGTCAGGAGTTTGAGACCAGCCTGGCCAACATGGTCAAGCCCAACTCTACAAAAATACAAAAATTAGCTGGGTGTGGTGGCACATCCCTGTAATCCCAGCTACTAGAGAGGCTGAAACAGGAGAATCGCTTAAACTTGGTAGTGGAGGTTGCAGTGAGCCGAGACTACACCATTGCACTCCCACCTGGGTGACAGAGCAAGGTCCCATCTCAAAAAAAAAAAAAAAAAAAAAAAAAGTTGGATGAACAGGTAAAGTCCAAAGACTAACTTGCGGATGGAAGCTGGTGTAGAAAAAGAGCACTGGCTGCTTCTCCGTGTTGTTCCCAAGTGTGAGAACACTGCTACCCCTTGCTTTCCACACAAAGCTTAGCGCACACATGCCCACGTGGAATGCCAGGCCATGGGTTCCTATGAGGTCAGCTGCAGGCAGATGGCCAGTCAGAACTTCAGGAGAAGAGATTTCCCCTGCAGCCACTCCAGCACCGCAGGGAGGGTAAGATGAACACCTGCATCTTCGCTCCTGTTGCCGAATCCTTCCTTACACTGTGGTAACACCAGTAGGTATGCACACTCCTCTCCAATGTTTTATGTTTTGTGGGGGCAAACACATTTAAGTCACAAGAACATTTCACAAGCAGCCATACCAGAGTAGTTAAAATGTCTGTTTATTCATTATAAACCTAGTAACATGAAAAGAAACTCAATAGAACTCTCCTTGATGGAGACACAGTGCACAGTGTTAGTGCCACATTCACAGGGGCAGAAATGCTCGGTCATCCCGTGCATCAAAAGTTACCCAGGATCTCCAGAAAAGATCCCACTTACTGAAGTGCCTCAGATGTCTTCAGGGCCACAGTGAAACTACACAGGAACAGAGAAGGGCTGAAGTGCACACTGACAAACACAAATGATGAGTCACCGGACTCTACAGTAATTACAATGGCGTTTTTATACATCCCGAGTGTTGTCTGGAGAGTAAAGTGTTAACTGAGCTACTAGAAAACCCTTCACTGAAAGAGCTTTCTACCCCCACGCCCATTGTTCTGAGGACGGAGAGGCTATGTCAGGTGGATGGGAACCCACACACTGAGATGACCTTTTCTTTCTCTTGTCTTCCAATCTGCACCCACCATCTGCCATGCTGGAGTGTAAGGCACTAGAACCTGGCTTAGAGAAGAGCGGGGCTCTAAGCTCCAGTTCTTGGTGTGCAAAGGAAATCCTGACATAGATCTTTTGAAAGAGATGCTAAAAAATCCTCCCTATCTCCTGTAATTTCTGTCTTTGACAGACAGGAAAACAAGAAGGCAGAAGATGGGTTGCAAAGGATGAAAACGGGTGCATCTAAGAATGAGAAAAATGGCCCATGAAGAAATGTGTACCTCTCCAAGAGATACAGACACTCTGCTCAGAGAAGTCAAGAATCATAAACAACTCTTGTCATGGATAAAGGGAAGGCAAAGGCATACAAAAACACTCAGTTGTCCTGAAAAAAGAGTGTACTGGTAGTGATCAGAGCTGCAAAGGCGAGCCCTGTACTGAAAATGGAAGAGCCTTACAAATCAGCACCTTAAAGCGGAGGCCCGGAAGTGGTGGTGGGGAGGGAGACGCTGTAAGACAGACCCACGGCTCACTCACCACTTACTTCATGTACACAGGGCCTGGGTCAAGCCCCACACATCTACCATTTCTTCCACTCAACTGTGCTTCTCCTGAATCCACGTGCCTGAAATGACATGTGCAAGGTGAACATTCCTTATATTGTGTTGACAAAATACTGCTTTTTTCAATGTTTGTGAGGGATGTGTCAGGGCTAGCATGCAGAAAGAAAATTAGAATGGCAGATTATTCATTATTAACCACTGTTGACCAAACCTCTTAGATTTTTTTTTTGAGACAGAGTCTCACTCTGTCACCCAGGCTGGAGCGCAGTGGTGCCACCTCAGCTCACTGCAACCTCCATCTCATGGGTTCAGGTAATTCTCCCATCTTGTTCGGCCTCCCAAAGTGCTGGGATTATAGGCATAAGCAACCACGCCCAGCCAAACAAACCTGTCTTAGATATTAAAGAAGACCCTTATTGACTACACTGGCCAAGAAACAGAGACATAAAAATGAACCTTGTAGCTAACCCCTGAAGGCAAGCCAACGCAAACTGCTCCACCAGGCCAGTCTTCTAGGGCTGATACGGAGACTGTGAGTCACAGAAGATTCCTTCTATTTCAGGTTCTCAAAAAGTGGTGTAGACTCAGCCAATGCCAGCAAATGTGTCCATACGCCAGATGAGCAGAGCCAGAAATGAAGGTTATGGGTCCTGTCTTCAGTGAAGCACTGAACACTCTCGGAAGGCTCCTGTCACTCTTGCACCACTACTGCCACCAAGATGGTGGGAAGGGAGGTGGCTAACTTTCAATGCATGCAAAGGCAGGCAGTATACTGTGGAAGCTGGAGATTTACTTTTCCTATGTTTTAGTTACTTTCTTGGAAACAACAATCCAGGAAAACAAGCAAGCAGGTAAAACTCCTGGTGTGCACGAGGAGAGATCCAGGGCCAGCGTGCCTCCCGATGAGAACCAAACACGAGTGGCTGGGCTCCACTCCTGGGGCCAGAGAAAGCCGGGGTTTAATCACTAGGCTACATAGTCTCTGTGTCCCTGGCCTGAATGAGAGCTCTTGAATGTGGGGGGGACAGGGCCCCCTGGAAGAGCGTGAAAAATACAGTGGTCATTGTGCAGTTCTCTCTGCTGGAGTGTGGCCCAGCTCAGCAGTTAGTGTTTGTCCCTTTTTGCTCTTCAGAGTTCCTGAATGAAAGCTTTTGTGGCTTCAGTACCAAGGATCACAGAAGGATCATCTTCCTGATGCAAGCTTAGATGGAAGTCAACGACACCAGCAGTACTAAGAACAGGAATCACACATGGCCTACAAATGAAGGGGAGGTAATTAAGGATATTTCAGGGGAGGGGAAGGCCCAAAGAAACCTGGCAACCCTGGGTCTCCATCTTTTTGAGGCCAATGCACCTTGTGTTCCCAGGTTCAGAGGGCGTACACTGACAAGAGAAGGCAGAGTCCATCCCCCATGGTGAGCACAAAATGCTATGACAGGTAATTGTGGAGAGAAAAAAGCACCCAACTCCATAAAGCCAAGTCCAGCCACCCATCACAAAAGTCCAGAATCCTTCAAAAAATCTCCAGGGACAGAAGACTAACAGGCTCCCCAGAATGAGCTGACACACAAGGCAAACCCTTGGAAATGACACACAGATGAGGCGGCTGTGGTTGTTCCTCCTAATCCTGCTAGATTTGCAGCTGTGCCTCAGGACTAGACCATCTACTAGCCTCCCCTGTTCACTCAGAGGCCAGTGCCTCTGAGGAGTCCAGAAAGCTCCGTCATCTAACACCAGTGATCAAGAAATTATGCTGCTCTCTCCTCTTGACCAGCTAAGATGCTTGGATACTAGACAGAGGCAAAGCAATTATGCCAGAAGCAGGGAAAAGTCACTCATTCACTGTCAGATCTGTTTGTTCAAAGAGCTCACATTAGACCAATTACAGAAAACCACCAGACTTACACAGCCTGTATCTGAATGAACCAGGAGAGACTTTGGGGATGAACTTAAAGTGCTAGAAGAGAAATCTGTATGTTCGGGGCACTCAATAAACAAGCAATGTCCTAGAAGACCCACAGCCTGTTAGTCTTAGGAATATGACCCTATTCATGGACAAGGTGTTTCAATGGACAGCCTGAGTGCTCACCCAGCCCATCCTCCTCTCCTAGCAAGACAAGTAGTCTGTTGCTCAGAGGGGGAAACTGTGACGTCATTTAACAGGAGGCCAGGACTTCTGGCTCTAGTTCAACAAAAAGTCAGTGCATAATTTTGGACACAGTATCAGATTTTCTGACTTCTTAGAAAGAACAGCTAATTAAAAACATTAATATACCGTTGATGATGGCACTATTTGATTTTAAACTAAGGAGACAGCTTTTATTCTTTCCATTTGGATCCTGGTAAATGCTATGTAACAGTTAAAAGCCCAAATGTATTGCCATAGTTAAGGTTGAAGAGTTAAGTCTATGTGTAACTAAATCCTTCTCGATCCAATTACAAATACATTTCCCTTTACAAAGATGACTCTGGAGGGTGCAAGTGCTACGTGTTTGGAAGATCAGGGATGCCTGCAGCTCTCAGTCACCTGTTGGCATGTTTGTAGTTAGTTTGCTCCCTGCTGGTAATGACTGCATTGACTAAGGGCCTATTCCTCTCCTAAGGCCTTCACTGCTGCTGTTCACTGGTTGGCCCTACAGCCAGCAACACCTCTCCTGCTCTCTCCTGTCTGCCTAGAGGCAGCATCTCTTGGCTATTTAAGTACACACTTGCTCCAAGATAACTGAGCCCCCAAACAGAATCTAATAGCAAGCTCCTTTTTTTTTTTTTTTTTTTTTGAGACGGAGTTTCGCTCTTGTTACCCAGGCTGGAGTGCAATGGCGCGATCTCGGCTCACCGCAACCTCCGCCTCCTGGGCTCAGGCAATTCTCCTGCCTCAGCCTCCTGAGTAGCTGGGATTACAGGCATGTGCCACCATGCCCAGCTAGTTTTTTGTATTTTTAGTAGAGACGGGGTTTCACCATGTTGACCAGGATGGTCTCGATCTCTCAACCTCGTGATCCACCCGCCTCGGCCTCCCAAAGTGCTGGGATTACAGGCGTGAGCCACCGCGCCCAGCCACAAGCTCCTTTAATAAGCCAACTAGAACCCTCCCAAAAGGTGGACACTAAAGTCAGTAGTCTCTAGAAGCGGTCTAGCTGGGGAAATGGCAAGAAGTGTCTAGAAGGAGCCAGAGTGAGTAAGTGGGTAAACAGAGATCCCAAAAGAAACTCGAGAAGGCAGACACCTGAGGATTTTACTCTAATGAAATGGAAGATCTTCTTTAATAAACTTATAGACCTATCAGAGCTAATGCTTCCATGATCCCAAGACATCAAAGGCTAGAGTTTTAACTAAAATCTTTTATAGCAGTTTGCACTTAAACAAAAAGTCAGATTATGGCAGTTTATATGCAAGGGTAAAATGAAGTGTTGAAGCTGGACAGCAGTCCACGATATCTAAGTTTCACCTTGGGAAAATAGAGACACTCCCTGAAAGAATGCAGGGCACTCCTGGGCATCCAAGCCATTTTCTACTCCTGACGATATAGAGAAATGGCTGGAGAGAAAGCAGGAAAAGTGGTCTCTAGCCTTATGCAATGTACACCCCTCGGACTCAGAACTCTCAGTGGACTAACATGGGTCACTTCTGTATGGCTCTGCTGTGCTGGAGGAAGTCAAATCTGGAATTCCGGTAGCTCTGTGGAACTTGGCACAGCCAGCAAGGTTGAGGTGCTCAGGACAACATACCCAATCCCTTCCCCTTCCTGTTCTAAAGGGAGAGAAGCATGACTATGGGCCAACTGAAGGGGACAGGTGAGGCTGACCTGACGTTCAAAGAGATTCTCAGGTCCCAATGAAGACAGCTCTGGGTGGAAGATTTACATCTCAAAGAATAAGAGAAGGATGTTTTAATTGCAAGCTTTCTAAGTAATTGCTCTAAGAGGGAGTTTAGGGGCCTATGTCTGTTACTAGGTTTGGGCTAGGCTGAACAGTAAATTCTTCTGACAGCAATGAACTTTTTCAGGCAGGCATTTTAAGAGGGGGGCTGAGGGCATCCTAGGGACAGGGCCCTAAATTGCTAGAAGCTACACTAGAGCTTGGTAAAGGAGAGTCTTTGTTCCTGGCAGCTCTCGGCAGTACCGTTTCAATGCCTTAGAACAAGAGAGTGGCGGACGAACAGTGATAATGATGGATAGTGAGACTGATTTCTATTAAAGGATTCTAATTAAAACAAGGAAAAAAAAAAACCAGGGGAAGAGGAGAACCTGAACTTCGGACAGGTGAGAGAAAAGCAGCATCACTTCCATAGCCGAATGCTCAGCGTCACTGGTGGGGGACTGCGGTCAGACCCTTTTGAATGGGAGAAGCAACACACAAGGCAACACGGTTTTTCCCTTTGAAACACTGTGGCTTACTTCTTTACTCGACTCAGAAAGAGAAAGCAACCTTATTAAAGAGATTAGCAAGAGATGAAGAAATTCATCTGTCCCAAAGGTCTGCTAACTGCTTCTGCAGGGACGGAGAAGACAGTGCCAGGTTAACTGCTTGTCTCCACTCCAGAGCAGAAAACGTCCACGCGATGCCTCTCATCAGTGAGGTAGATGATCATCCTCTTGCCAGAGGTATCAAGTGCCAGCCCACAGTGCAGTGGAACAAGAGAATGAGCTGCCTGGCTGCAGGCACATGCTGTTCCTCAAGGCTGCATCCGACACAAGGCAACCCCACCAGAATTAACAGGCTGCTCTGAGAAAACACAACCCAAGGGAGAGGGAAACTTGTGCCCCGAGGCCTGCACCACCCTGGCTTGCCCTGTTTTGAGATGCAGAATTTGAAACCAGCTGTCACCGTCACTCAGGTCCACAGTGGAGCCTGCTTCTGTCCTGCCTGCCAGACACACGTCCTGCCACCATGAGAAGCTGACTGTGGGAAGGAAAAAAAGAGCCCAGAGTGAATATTAGGAGGAAGCAGAAGGTCAAGGGAGGCTGAAAAGCAAAAAATTTTAAAGTAGGTCAAGTTCAAAATTATATCAAGGAGATAAGAGACAGAAGGCAAAGGAAGGTTCCTTTAAGTTTCACCTTGGGAAAACAGAGACACTCTCTGAAAGTGTGCAGGGCACTCCTGGGCACCCAAGTTATTTTCTACTCCAGAGGATATGGAGGAAAGGGCTGGAGGGAAAGAAAGGGCCTGAAGGGAAAGCAGGAAAAGCAGTCTCTAGCCTTATGTAATGTACACCCCTTGGAGTATGTTCCAAAGAGGAACGGAGGCAGAAGGAAGAGAAGCTCCAAGGTGACACCTGCTCCAGGACAAGATGATGGAGAGGTGGGCAGGCTGCCCCGCCATCACTTCCCATGTAAGTCACTCAGCTCCATGTCATCCTTTCGGCGCTTGTGGGTGAAGAGGGAGGCGACAGGGTAGAGCTTGGCTTTGGCCTGGAAGCGGTATCCTGCGATGTCAATCTCATACTCTCCCCGGTTGATGAAATCCGCTGTCACCACCTGCTCTTCCCCCGTGTCCTCGGAAAAATTGTGCACAAAGCCCAGGCAAACGTGGCGCTCCAGGCTGTAACTGTAGGCACTGCTGGTTGTCTTGCCAACATACTGCCCATTTCGGTAAATGGGCTCTCCCCACCAAGGCCAAAGGTCTAGGTCTGTGTCATGGTCATCCAGGATGAACATGGTGAAGCGTTTATACACTCCATTCTGCTTCTGCTGCAGGAGGGCGTCGCGACCAATAAAATCCATGCCCTAAAAAGAAAGGAACGGTCAAGTCACCCAGCGACACTCAGACCCTTTGCACAGAAAGCAGCAGCATGGGAAGGGTCCCCTGGTGTCACTGGAATTGGGCACAGCCACCTCCTCCCACAACCTTGCCAGCTTTAGGGAAATGGTGTGCTTGCCACCATGTGAAAAACTGCATTTGCAATATAAAATACCCTTCAGAAATTTCTGTAACAACAGAGGTACACATTTTGTTTCCTATTTTATAAACATAAAGTCACAAGACCAGACAGAACAAAATCATTTAGAAAAAAAAACTCACTCACTTAATAAAATACCCTATCAGTATGGTACTTTATAAGAATGTTTTTATACTGGCCAGGCACAGTGGCTCACGCCTGTAATCCTAGCACTCTGGGAGGCTGAGGCGGGTGGATCATCTGAGGTCAGGAGTTTGAGACCAGCCTGGCCAACACGGCAAAACCCCATATCTAGTAAAAATACAAATATTAGCTAGGTGTGGTGGAGCATGCCTGTAGTTCCAGCTACTTGGGAGGCTGAGACAAAAGAATCGCTTGAACCTGGGAGGCAGAGGCTGCAGTGAGCCGAGATGGCACCACTACACTCCAGCCTGGGCAACAGAACAAGACTCTTGTCTCCAAAAAAATAAAAAAAAACAAAAACAAAAAACTGCTTTTTATATAATCCCAAAAGAAAGCCATGTACAAATATCTATATTCAATGCATAAACATTTATATATGCATATATACAACAACTAAGACTAGAATAAACTATTAACAATTCCCTTCTTTGCTTTTCTCTCTCTTTTTTTTTTTTTTTTTGAGACGGAGTTTCGCTCTTGTTACCCAGGCTGGAGTGCAATGGCGCGATCTCGGCTCACCGCAACCTCTGCCTCCTGGGTTCAGGCAATTCTCCTGCCTCAGCCTCCTGAGTAGCTGGGATTACAGGCACGTGCCACCATGCCCAGCTAATTTTTTGTATTTTTAGTAGAGACGGGGTTTCACCATGTTGACCAGAATGGTCTTGATCTCTCAACCTCGTGATCCACCCGTCTCGGCCTCCCAAAGTGCTGGGATTACAGGCGTGAGCCACCGTGCCCGGCCTTTTTTTTTTTTTTTTGAGATGGAGTCTCATTCTGTGGCCAGGCTGGAGTGCAGTGGTGCAATCTCGGCTCACTGTAACCTCCACCTCCCAGGTTCAAGCGATTCTGCTGCCTCAGCCTCGCAAGTAGCTGGGACTACAGGCATACACCACCCCGTCCAGCTATTTTTTTGTATTTTTACTAGAGACAGGGTTTCACCATGTTTGCCAGGATGGTCTTATCTCCTCACCTTGTGATCTGCCCACTTAGGCCTCCCAAAGTGCTGTGATTACAAGTGTTAGTCACTGTGCCCAGCTGTGATTATCCTTAAATAGACAAAATATGGGTGATTTTTAATGTCCTGATTTGTATATTCCAAAATAAGTTATTACTTTTTTTTTTTTTCCGATGGACCCTTGCTCTGTTGCCCAGGTGGGATACTACTACCTCTGCCTCCCAGGTTGGGACAATTCTCGTGCCTCAGCCTCCCGTGTAGCTGGGAAGACAGGCCTGCACCACTACGTCTGACTAATTTTTTTATTTTTAGTAGAGACAGGGTTTCACCAAGTTGCCCAGGCTGGTCTCAAACTCCTGACCTCAGGTGATCCGCCTGCCTTGGCCTCCCAAAGTGCTGGGATTACAGGTGTGAGCTACTGTGCCCCGCCTACTTTTGTACCAGAGAAAAATCATTACATGTCACTGCTCAAAAAGAATACTGTAGCTCAGGCCCGGTGCAGTGGCTCACGCCTGTAATCCCAGCACTTTGGGAGGCCGAGGCGGGTGGATCACGAGGTCGAGAGATCGAGACCATCCTGGTCAACAAGGTGAAACCCCGTCTCTACTAAAAATACAAAAAATTAGCTGGGCATGGTGGCGCGTGCCTGTAATCCCAGCTACTCAGGAGGCTGAGGCAGGAGAATTGCCTGAACCCAGGAGGCGGAGGTTGCGGTGAGCCGAGATCGAGCCATTGCACTCCAGCCTGGGTAACAAGAGCGAAACTCCGTCTCAAAAAAAAAAGAAAAAAAAAAAATCATGTTCACGTATTACTTTAAAAAAAAAAAAAACAGGCCGGACGCAGTGGCTCACGCCTGTTAATCCCAGCACTCTGGGAGGCCGAGGCAGATGGATCAGAAGGTCAAGAGATCGAGACCGTCCTGGCCAATAGGGTGAAACCATCTCTACTAAAAATACAAAAATTAGCTGGGCATGGTGGCATATGCCTGTAGTCCACGCTACTCGGGAGGCTGAGGCAGTAGAAGTGCTTCAACCCAGGAGGTGGAGGCTGCAGTGAACTGTGCCACTGTACTCCAGCCAGCCTGGTAACAGAGCCAGACTCTGTCTCAAAAACAAAACAAAACAAAAACAAAACAAAACAAAACAAAACACAACTCAGACTGGGCACGGTGGCTCAGGCCTATAATCCCAGCACTTCAGAAGGCTGAGGTAGATGGATCACCTGAGGTCAGAAGTTCAAGACCAGCCTGACCAATATGGTAAAACCCTACTTCTGCTAAAAATACAAAAATTAACTAGGTGTGGCAGCACATGCCTGTAATCCTAGCTACCCGGGAGGCTAAGGCAGGAGAACTGCTTAAACCTGGGAGGTGGAGGTTGCAGTGAGCTGAGATTGGGCCACTGTACTCCAGCCTGGGCAAGACAGCAAGACTCAGTCTCCTCTCCAAAAAACAACAAAAGAACCAAAAATTAGGCCGGGCAGGGTGTCTCACGCCTGTAATCCCAGCACTTCGAGAGGCTGAGGCAGGTGAATCATCTGAGCTCAGGAGTTTGAGACCACCCTGGCCAATGTGGCGAAACCCTGTCTCTACCAAAATACAAAAAATTAGCTGGGTATGGTGGCGTGTGTTTGTGGTCCCAGCTACTTGGGAGGCTGAGGTGGGAGAATCACTAGAGCATGAGAGGCAGATGCTGCAGTGAGCCAACATCGCGCCACTGCATTCCAACCTGGGTGACAGAGTGAAACCCTGTCTCAAAATCAAAAACAAAAATACCCCACAAAAATTAGGCAGCTGACTATAAGATGACTAATTTGTACAAATATTTGTGGCATGTTAATGAGTCACCAAATCAATTCGGAACAGCTTCCCAGAAAGCACTGTCTTTTAGATAGCAAAGCACTAGAAATAAATGGGTTTTTGTTTTTCGTTTTTCAAATCTTAATATAGAGATGAGGTCTCGCTGTATTGCCCAGGCTGATGCAGAACTCCGGGGCTCAAATGATCCTCCTGCCTTGGCCTCCCAAAGTGCTAGGATTACAGTCATGAGCCACTGCACCTGGCCAAGTGTGATCTATTTATTTAATATGGTTTTTTTGTTTTTTTTGAGACAGAGTCTTGCTCTGTCTCCCAGGCTTGAGTGTAGTGGTGAATCTCGGCTCACTGCAAACTCCGCCTGCTGGGTTCAAGCAATTCTCCTGTCTCAGCCTCCTGAGTAGCTGGGACTACAGGTGCCAGGCACCACACCCAGCTATTTTTTGTATTTTTAGTAGAGACAGGGTTTCACCATGTTGGCCAGGCTGGTCTCAAACTCCTGACTTCAGGTGATCAGTCCACCTCAAGTCTCCCAAAGTGCTGGGATTACAGGTGTGAGCCACTGTTATTATGTTTTCATTCGAAGATATTTCATCCTATAAAGTTTTCATTCTCAGGACATTCAGGTCCCCATTTACCTAATACTAACAGGAAGGCCTCAATCTTTTTCCTCTTTTTCTGCCATACCAGTTCTTCTTGCTACTCCAGCACAGATTCACTACTCAGGAAGCTGAGTGAAAGTGGAGTCTGGATAAACACGGTACCTTCTCTAATTTCACCCGAGACTCTCGTCCACATTCCAGGGGCGTGGTGAGGTTATTTATATCCTGACCCCAGAAGGCAAAAAACTTCTCAATTCGGAGACTTCGAAGAGCATAATATCCAGCATTCCGGATTCCGTATTTCTGCCCAACACTCATCACTTCATTGTATACATGCAGGGCATACTATAGGAAGAGACAGAAAGTTAGTAAGCAGTAGACCTTCAGAATTAAGCATGGAACACGTGTGGAAGCACTAACGGCTCACACTATTAACGTGGACAAGAGAGGAGGCGCATAAAACTCCCAGGATGTCTCATCCTTGATGCACTCAGGCACAGCCCAGGAGTGATGAGCTGGGGTCACTCCAGCCTGGACTTAAGCTCCATAACAGCACGATCCATGTCTTTTCACCTCTCTAAAATGTCTTGTGTGGTGATTCTAGCACCCAGCAATTATTTTTTTCTTTGAGAGGAAGTTTTGCTCTTGTTGTCCAGGCTGGAGTGTAATGGTGCAATCTCGGCTCACTGCAATCTCCATCTCCCAGGTTCAAGCGATTCTCCTGCCTCAGCCTCCCAAGTAGCTGGGATTACAGGCCTGCACCACGACACTCAGCTAATCTTGCATTTTTAGTAGAGATGGGATTCCACCATGTTGACCAGGCTGGTCTTGAACTCCTGACTTCAGGTGATCCACCCACCTCGGCCCCTCAAAGTGCTGGAATTACAGGCCTGAGCCACCACACCCGGACTTTTCAGCAATTCCTTAATAACAACTTGTAGAAGCACTCTCACCATTTGGTAATGGCCAATCCTATCATCATTTCTTTCTTTTTTTTTTGAGACGGAGTTTCGCTCTTGTTACCCAGGCTGGAGTGCAATGGCACGATCTCAGCCCACTGCAACCTCCGCCTCCTGGGTTCAGGCAATTCTCCTGCCTCAGCCTCCTGAGTAGCTGGGATTACAGGCACGCGCCACCATGCCCAGCTAATTTTTTGTATTTTTAGTAGAGACCGGGTTTCACCATGTTGACCAGGATGGTCTCAATCTCTTGACCTTGTGATCCACCCGCCTTGGCCTCCCAAAGTGCTGGGATTACAGGCTTGAGCCACCGCGCCCAGCCCCCTAACATTGTTTCTACAACAGCCCACTCACCTCCACAGCCTTCATCTGATTCTGGCTTTGTTCTTTTGCTCCGATTCCCAACCACTGTCATTCCCTCATGTGCTGGCCCAAGCTGTGAGGCCCAGCTCTCACAGGTAACTTAAGATGTGTGCACACATCGGATGAAGCCAGGGGAGCCAGGAAGGCAGGGCATACCTGCTCATGTTCCACAGGTTTCAGGCTCTCAAGCTGCTCTTTTCTCAGTTTCAGAATCATGTACCTTATCAGATAAGTGAACAGAAGGGTTTCCAAACTGGAGGCAAATACTCAATCTCTGTCTGAACATATGCTGTTAAGTTTAAAGTCCAACAAAAATCAGACTATACTGTTTGCTTTAAAAATTGTAAAATGAAATACAAAGCAAGACAGCAAAAAAACAGCTTCAGTGGTACTATAGTTCTTTATGCTAGCACAATATGTTTCTAAAAACTGCACCACTGTAGCTGAACAGGCATCCACCAAACACATCACTAGGATCAAGACAACTTTATTTATTTCTTTTTGAGACAGAGTCTTGCTCTGTTGCCCAGGCTGGAATGCAGTGGCACGATCTTGGCTCACTGTAACCTCCACCTCCTGGGCTAAAGTGATTCTCCTGCCTCAGCCTCCCAAGTAGCTGGGATTCCATGAGCCTGCCACCAAACTCGGCTAATTTTTTTATTTTTAGTAGAGATGAGGTTTCGCCAAGTTGACCAGGCTGGTCTCAAACTCCTGACCTCAGGTGATTCACCCGCCTTGGCCTCCCAAAGTGCTGGGATTACAGGTGTGAGCCACCACGCTGGGAAGACAACCTTAAATATGGAAAAAAGGAATCCACACTATTGCATGCAACACCTGCCTGTGGTATGCGTGTAAGGGAAATACCTGAATCAGCCAAGGTGGGTAAGGAGAGCCACAGAATGCAGCAGGACGTGGAGAATACAGAACTGGTACCTCTGGGGAGTGTGGTGCTCTCCCACATCAAGCTCAATCCCCGGTACTTTAGGTAAGAGGACAACCAAGGAGGAAAGCTGTAACCAGGTGACTAGTGCTGGGCCAGATCCAACCACATGACTATTGTTTGGAAAATCAAAGAAGAGTGGGTGTCCACTATTTACTCATCTTTCTCACAAAATACCAGAGATTTAGTGGGAAGAAAACAAGAACCTGCCCCCTGCCCCCATGTTTCGGAAGACCTCTTCTCAAAGAGACAAACATAAGCTTCCCGAGGACAAAAGCCAGCTTTAAAAAGGTCCAAGAATGGCATAATTAATCTCGTGAACTCATGAAAAATCCTAAGAATGGGAACAGCTCAGAGAAATCAGAAGGCTAAAACCAAGCAAGGATGAAGCTGCGAGAGCCACAGAGCCTCCCCTTCCTGATGAGGTTTGGCCACAAGCACCCAGGTGACAACATCTGACGAATGTGTAGAACTCAGAATCAACCTGTCTGGACAGGCAGACTATGGGAGTTGCATGTTTAAACTCTTCCCAAGTCTTGAACAATTTCTTCATATTGTTGTAATACTTCTGAGTGTAAAAAACCAGATGAAATTTCATAGGTTGTTAAACCTGTGCTTTATTTAATCATCTTAAAAGGGCCAGGCACAGTGGCTCAAATAACTACAAAGTGGGCCAGGCACAGTGGTTCACGCCTGTATTTCCAGCACTTTGGGAGGCTGAGACAGGAGGATTATTTGAGGCCGGAGTTTGAGTCCAGCTTGGGCAACATAATGAGACTCTCACCACTACAAAAAATAAAAAACAGCTGGGTACCTGTGGTCCTACCTACTCAGAATGCTGAGGCAGAAAGACTGCTTGAACCCAGAAGTTCAAGGATACAGTGAGCTATGAACATGCCATTGAACTAAAAAATAATAATAGGCCAGGTGTGGTGGTTCACGCCTGTAACTCCAGCACTTTGGGAGGCCAAGGTGGGCAGATCACGAGGTCAGGAGTTCGAGACCAGCCTGGCCAATACAGTGAAACCCTGTCTCTACTAAAAATACAAAAATTAGCTGGGCATGGTAGTGCACATCTATAGTCCCAGCTACTCAGGAGGCTGAAGCAGAATTGCTTGAATCTGGGAGGTGGAGGTTACAGTGAGCCAAGATCACCACTGCACTCCAGCCTGGACAACAGAGTTTGACTCTGTCTCAAAATAATGATAATAATAATGAATAATAATAATTAAGGATGGGATGGTGGCTCACACCTGTAATCCCAATACTTTGGGAAGCTGAGGCGATAGGATCACTGGAGTCCAGAGTTTGAGACCAGCCTAGGCAGCCACAGCAAGATCTGCCTCTACAAAAATAAAATTAAAAAATTAGCTGGGGGCGGGCGCGGTGGCTCAAGCCTGTAATCCCAGCACTTTGGGAGGCGGAGGTGGTTGGATCACGAGGTCAAGAGATCAAGACCATCCTGGTCAACATGGTGAAATCCCATCTCTACTAAAAATACAAAAAATTAGCTGGGCATGGTGGCACGTGCCTGTAATCCCAGCTACTCAGGAAGCTGAGGCAGGAGAATTGCCTGAACCCAGGAGGCGGAGGTTGCGGTGAGCCGAGATTGTGCCATTGCATTCCAGCCTGGGTAACAAGGGCGAAACTCCGTCTCAAAAAAAAAAAAAAAAAAAAAAAATTAGCTGGCATGTTGGCACATGCCTGTAGTCCCAGCTATTCAGGAAGCTGAGGCAGGAGGATCACTTGAGCCTAGGAGGTCAAGCTGCAGTAAGCCTGAATGGGTGACAGAGCAACATCCTATCTCAAAAAAAATAAAAGAAAAGAAAAAAAATAAAAGAAAACATATTACTATGAGTAATATGAGGAGCATCAAGAAGAAAACAAGCATGCCTAATGCTTACAATCACTGCTACTTGTAACAATAGGACAAAGAAAGGAAATTACAGAAATAAAGATTGTGGAGAAGGAAGCTATTACTATTTGCATATGGTAAGACTGAACCCAGTCTGCAGACCTTTTTACAACAGCAAAAGACTGGAAATAGCATAAATGTCTATTAGTATTGGAATGAATTAGTACCACAATGGAATGTTATGCCACTGTCAAAAAATTTTAAAAGAAAGAATGAGGAAGCTCTTTTTCTTTAGTTACCAATAAAGAAAGAGCTCTAAGAGAAATTGTGACGTGAGGCTGGGTGCAGTGGCTCACACCTGTAATCCTTTAGGAAGCTGAGGCAGGTGGATCACTTGAGGTCGGGAGTTTGAGACTAGCCTGGCCAACATGGTGAAACGCCATCTCTACCAAAAATACAAAAATTAGCCAGGTGTGGTGTTTTGCACCTGTAATCCCAGCTACCCAGGAGGCTAAGGCAGGAAAATCATTTGAACCCAGGAGACGGCGGTTGCAGTGACCAAGACTGTGCCACTGCACTTCAGCCTAGGCAACAGAGTGAGACTCTGTATCAATTTTTTAAAAATGTGCGCAGTGGCTCACGCCTGTAATCCCAGCACTTTGGGAGGCCGAGGCGAATAGATCATGAGATCAACCGATCGAGACCATCCTGGTCAACAAGGTGAAACCCCGTCTCTACTAAAAATACAAAAAATTAGCTGGGGGCTGGGCATGGTGGCTCAAGCCTGTAATCCCAGCACTTTGGGAGGCCAAGGCGGGTGGATCACAAGGTCAAGAGATCAAGACCATCCTGGTCAACATGGTGAAACCCTGTCTCTACTAAAAATACAAAAAAATGCCGGGCGCGGTGGCTCAAGCCTGTAATCCCAGCACTTTGGGAGGCCGAGGCGGGTGGATCACGAGGTCGAGAGATTGAGACCATCCTGGTCAACATGGTGAAACCCCGTCTCTACTAAAAATACAAAAAAAATTAGCTGGGCATGGTGGCACATGCCTGTAATCCCAGCTACTCAGGAGGCTGAGGCAGGAGAATTGCTTGAACCCAGGAGGCGGAGGTTGCGGTGAGCCGAGATCGCGCTATTGCACTCCAGCCTGGGTAACAAGAGCGAAACTCCGTCTCAAAAAAAAAAAAAAAAAATTAGCTGGGCACGGTGGCGCGTGCCTATAATCCCAGCTACTCAGGAGGCTGAGGCAGGAGAATTGCCTGAACCCAGGAGGTGGAGGTTGCAGTGAGCCGAGATTGTGCCATTGCACTCCAGCCTGGGTAACAAGAGCGAAATTCCATCTCAAAAAAAAAAAAAAAAAAAAAATTAGCTGGGCATGGTGGTGCGTGCCTGTAATCCCAGCTACTCAGGAGGCTGAGGCAGAAGAATTGCCTGAACCCAGGAGGCAAAGGTTGCGGTGAGCCGAGATTGTGCCATTGCACTCCAGCCTGGGTAACAAGTGCGAAACTCCATCTCAAAAAAAAAAAAAAAAAAAAAAAAATTGTGAAGTGAAAAAAATAGGATGAAGAATAGCAGTATGCTTCCATTTCTGCTTTTAAAAGAGGAGCTTGGGCCAGGCACAGTGGCTCACACCTGTAATGCTAGCACTTTGTGAGGCCAAGGTGGGTGGATCACCTGAGGTCAGGAGTTCAAGACCAGCCGGGTCATCATGGTGAAACCCCATCTTTAAAAAGAAAAAAAGTGGGGAGGCTTGGCTGGGTATGGTTGCTCGCTCATAATCCCAACAGTTTACGAGGCCAAGATGAGTGGATCACCTGAGGTCAAGAGTTTGAGATTAGCCTGAATGACATGGAAAACCCAGCTCTACAAAAAAAATACAAAAATTAGCCAGGCATGGTGGCACACGCCTACAGTCCCAGCTACTTGGGAGGCTGAGGTGAAAGGGTGGCTTGAACTCAGCAGGTCAAGGCTGCAGTAAGCTGCAGTCATGCCACTGCATTGCACCCCAGGCAACAGAGTGAGACCCTGTCTCAAAAAAAAAAAAAAGTCACTGTGAATTTACTTGCATATGTATAAAAATTTGATATGACATATAAAAGTAATACTAAGATTACTGGTGGCTGCTGGGGAAAACTGATCAGATGGTGCAAAATACTTTTTAAATGTATTACCTATTCAAAAAAACTTAAGTAACTTAGTTAAAAATGGTCAAATCTCTTCTTCAGTGTAGGGTAACTCAGTTCCCAAGGCCCAGTCAGACGCAGCCCTCCAAACCCGCCAGTGCTGGTGAGTGCTGGGAGCGCCTGCACCCCACAGCATTTCTGGGAAGGGAAGGAAGGGTGCCCTCTCACCTCTATGGGGATGTACAGCATGAATCCTGGCTCTCCTGTGTGTGTCATGCTCATCACGCGGATCCCATTTGCATAGCCCACGCTCATCTCCTGCAGGGACAAAGGCAGCAGTCAGCCTGGGCACTCACACTGCTTGTCAAGGGAGGGACATCTGGGAAAACCTTTCATTAATGCTGCACCCTCTGTTTACTGTTGAGGGAGACAGAAGTCAAGGCAAGAGTTTCATCCTGAAAGTGGTGCATTTTCAGGTCCTGAGGCACTGAGAATGGAGCACCGCCTCTATGGCATCTCTGCCTGCTACTGCTACCATTTCATGAGTTTTAGCCAAGCTGACGGTGGAGAGTGGAGGGAAGTCCGTGACAAACACAAAATATTCCTCCTTGCCAGGTCCTTGTATTATTCGGGAGGACACAACGAGGACAAGACAAATGTCTTCTCTGGGGGACTTGGCAGACAAAATCTGGCCACCTGCCATACAAAAGATGATGCTCAATGCCCACAGACATGACTCATCGGCTACCCTGGGGTCAAAGGCGGGATTCTGATTCTCAGAACATGTTACACAGCAGCTCAGTTCCTGCCAGTGATGCAACTGCTTTTCCTATAAAGTAAAGTGGAAAGTCCCGGACAGCAATGAAGCAAATCACTTCCATAATACACAGACAGGATGTGGCATTCACCAGGCGAGAGGGTATGAGTGACTCCTCTAAGCAGCAGAGATCACTGGGAGGGGGCCACTGATGGCTAACAGTGGAGAGTTTTCTACTGCTTTCATTCCACCTCTGAAAAGGAAAACTGTAACAATTTGTAGGTGGATCCCAACTTTGGTTGAAATTCAGTTTCCATCGGTAACTGGAAGTTGGCTGGTTATAGGCTGCCAAAATGGCTGTCCCTTGGCCCTCTCTAATCAGCTGCTTTTTGGGGAGGATTCCGTTGTCACTGCTTTCATTCAGTTATACAGTTTGTTTCACTCAGCTGTGGTAGCCACTTATAGCAAAGAAAATTATGTAAGAAGTTCAGAGATTGACCTACACCATTTCTTCCCTGAAGATGCCACATACACAGAAGTTACTCTGTGTATGGAGAGAAGGTACCTAACCCCTCGACAGGCATTTTGGGGTGTCAGTGTCATAATCCTGTAACTTCAAATTTTAATCCACTGTTACAGAAACCAAAAAGTATACAGACTTTACATTTAGAGAAGCTAAAACCACTTCAAAGATATCCGAATGCTTACTAAATAAGGAAAGCTTGGAGTGTAAAACATAAATACACTCAGTCACTTCCTTGCTAATAAAGGTCAGCCCTTTTTTTTTTTTTTTTTTGAGATGGAGTCTCACTCTGTTGCCTAGACTGGAGTGTAATGGTGCAATCTGAGCTGACTACAATCTCCACCTCCCGGGTTCAAGCAATTCACATGTCTCGGCCTCCTGAGTAGCTGGGATTGCAGCAAGCGCCACCACGCCTGGCTAATTTTTCTACTTCTGGTAGAGACAGGGTTTCACCATGTTGGTCAGGCTGGTCTCGAATTCCTCACAAGTGATTCACCTGCCTCGGCCTCCCAAACTGCTGGGATTACAGGCATGAGCCACTGCGCCCAGCCAGCACACTCTTCCGTTTGAGACAGAGTCTCACTCTGTTACCCAGGCTGGAATGCAGTGGTGCAGTCTCGGCTCACTGGAACCTCTGCCTCCCAGGTTCAAGTGATTCTCGTGCCTCAGTCTCCTGAGTAGCTGGGACTATAGGCGTGTATTGCCACACCCAGCTAATTTTTGTATTTTTTTTTTTTTAAGATGGGGTTTCACCATATTGGTCAGCCTGGTCTCGAACTCCTGACCTCAGGTGATCCGCCCACCTCAGCCTTCCAAAGTGCTGGGATTATAGGCGTGAGCCACCACGCCCGGCTAATTTTTGTATTTTTAATAGAAACAGGGTTTCACCATGTTGGCCAGGCTGGTCTCAAACTCCTGACCTTGGGCAATCTGCCTGCCTCGGCCTCCCAAAGTGTTGGGATTACAGGCGTGAGCCCCTGTGCTTGGCCAGGACACTCTTCGTGAGCATTAACACCATAGTAAGAATATGTCACTGCCCCCACTATGAGAGACATAATCTCTGCCCATTTAAAAAAACAGAAATTTACCAGCACTCACCTTGCAAAAGAGACTTGGGAAGTGGTCTGGAGTCATAGGGGCATAGGATAACTCAGACAGCACATCCACAGCTCGAGGGCCAATCAGATTGAGGGCTAAATGGAAAAGAACAAGAGATGTCCAGCTCTCCTGCTGAACAGCTGAACCAATGGGAAAGGTCTACTGTAGACTTGCTCAGCCATGGCCAGGCCTGGGTGCTGAGACCAGCAATGTCCCCTTGCTTAGGCACTCCAAGGATGGATGCTAAACACCCCAATTCTGGTAAACACACCTCTGCCAACAGGGCCTGCTAAAGGCAGCTACTGATTGCTGCCTGCATTGAGAGAGCCTGACTAAATATGCTTCCTCTGCCTGATACCAAGGAAGACAACGTTTCAGATCTCCTCTGCAGTCACAGAGGATTGCAAGACAAGTCCTGGCCAATAAGACACAAGCCCATAACTGCCCTACACAATTCCCATTCTCTTCCCAGCGTGGCTATGTGATGGACGAAGCCCCAAAACCAAATAAGTACCTGGAGGAGATCTGCCCAGTCAAAAAGTCTACAGACTATACATTCAGAGAAGTGAAATCCACTTCAAAGATATCCTAATGCTTACTAAATAAGGAAAGCTTTATTCCGAACTCCCATGTCTGCGACAGCAGCTTGTGCCAATTACGTGTCATCTAACACAGGCTAGAACATGACTTTTGTTCAGTAACATTCTATAGTTTGCCAATCTAGGATCAGAATTTAAATCATATTTGCTACTATAAGGAGTTCAGAATGAGAGCCTGGGAAGGCAAACGCTGCTAGGGCTGAGGGGCAGGATCAGTTCGGTGGGAGGGCAGGAGGTGTTAAGCCAGGACTGCCAAGGATGAGAAAATCAGGGAACCAAGTCATCCTTAAAAATCAGGTATTCACACACACACAAAAAGACATTTTGAAGAAAATATTACTTAGGTAGTAAATACAGAAATACTCTAAATATATATATATATATATATTTTTTTTTTTTTTGAGACAGAGTTTCGCTTTTTTTGTTACCCAGGCTGGAGTGCGATGGCGCGATCTTGGCTCACCGCAACCTCCGCCTCCTGGGTTCAGGCAATTCTCCTGCCTCAGCCTCCTGAGTAGCTGAGATTACAGGCATGTGCCACCATGCCCAGCTAATTTTTTGTATTTTTAGTAGAGACGGGGTTTCACCATGTTGACCAGGATGGTCTCGATCTCTCAACCTCGTGATCCACCCGCCTCGGCCTCCCAAAGTGCTGGGATTACAGGCTTGAGCCACCGCGCCCGGCCTACTCTAAATATTATTTACTCATTCATTCAATAAATAATTGACCTCCTATACGCAAGCTATAGGGGATATAGCAGTGAATAAAACAAATAGAACTGAACCACTAATTCATTTCACACTCCACTTATAAAAAGAGGAAGGGGCTGGGTGTAGTGTCTCATGTCTGTAATTTGAGCACTTTGGGAGGAGGCAGGCAGATTACTTGAGCCCAGAGTTTGAGACCAGCCTGGGGAAAATGGCGAGATCCTATCTCTACAAAAAAATTAAAAATTAGCTGGGTGCCTGTGGTCCCAGGTACTCTGGAGGCTGAGGTGGGAGCTTGAGCTTAGGAGGTCGAGGCTACAGTGAGTTGTGATGGCACCACTGCAGTCCAGCCTGGGCAACAGAGCAAGACCCTGTCTCAAAAAAAAAAAAAAAAAAAAAGCAAAGGAAGTATTAGATATCAATTACTTTTTTTTTCAGACGGAGTCTCGCTCTGTCACCCAGGCTGGAGTGCAGTGGGGTGATCTCAGCTCACTGCAACCTCTGCCTCATGGGTCCAAGCAATTCTTCTGCCTCAGCCTCCAGAGTAGCTGAGACTACAGGCATGCACTGCCATGCCCGGCTAATTTTTTTTATTTTTAGTAGAGATGGGGTTTCACCTCATTGGCCAGGCTGGTCTCTAACTCCTGACCTGGTGATCTGCCTGCCTCGGCTTCCCAAAGTGCTGGGATTGTAGACGTGAGCCACTGCACCCAGCTAAAGATCAATTTTCTATGAGCAGAGATTTGCTTCTATGCTAACTCTGATGTTCATTTTTGAGAGTCAAATATAAAGAAGGCAAACATGGATGACACATCTGGATCAGCTCGCCTTTTCCACGCAGCTGAGCCCAGAAGCCCCCGTACCTGTGTACTTCCAGGTGACATCCTCCAGGAGCAGGTTGCTGTCTTTTGGCATGTGTTTCTTAAGCCAGGCCCAACAGTGGACCTGCTGGTCAGTTGGAGAGATCATGAAGAAACTGAAAAGTGAGACCACAAAATAATCAAAACCAGGTAGCAGAAAAAGGATCAGGAAGCAATCAAATTCTCATTTAGTTTCAAAGCAATAAGGCAAATATTAGGAAATGATTTCTTAGCTTTCACAGAAGGCCAGTAGCACCATTCTAGGATACACCATCTAATGACAGAACAAAATTCTGGCTTCCTATTAGTGCCAAGAAATTATACAGATTTACTAACGTAAGACATCGGCTGGGCACAGTGGCCCACACCTGTAACCCCAGAACTTTGGGAGGCCAAGGTGGGCGGAATGCTTGAGCTCAAGTGTTCGAGATCAGCCTGGGCAATGCTGCAAAAGGCTATCTCTACAAAAATACAAAAGTTAGTTGGGTGAGGTGGCAGGTACCTGTGGTCCCAACCACTTGGAGAGCTGAGGTGGGAGGATTACTTCGAGTCCAGGAGTTCAAGGGTACAGTGAGCCATGATCACATCACTGCACTCCAGCCCAGGTGACAAAGTGAGACCCTGTCTCAAAAAAAAAAAAAAAAAAAAAAGACAAAGCATCTTCTCCCAGTAGGGCACATAATCTGGTGGGCTTTGTTTTCTTTTCCTCCTGGTCATTTCTTTTTGTTTAGGGCTGCTAATAAACTGGCTTTAATTTCATGAAATGGTTCTTAGTCCCTGGGATTTATGGTTCCTGGAGAGGTGCCTGAGAGCCTCTGCTCTAGTACCCCTAAGGAATAAACGTGCTGGAGGGAGCAGAGTGGGGCGTCAGCTCATCTCACCTGCGCTTGCTCAGTCGTGCTATGCTGCAGTCATTTTCATACCCTCCAACTTCATTGAGCATGCCGGTATGAACAATGTGGCCCACAGGCACATCCAGGTCATTGGAGAAGAGGTACTGAAGAACTTCTAATGCCTGGTCCCCAGTGGACTGCAGGGTTAGGGAATGAAGCAGAGAGAGTAAGCGCAGGGGACGTGGCTGGGCAACATGGCCCAACCAGCAATGAACCTTGCTGAGAAAATAATCAGCCAATACCCATGTAACAACATTTGCAGACCTACTCTACTGCAAGAAGTTGCAGGGAATGTTAGCTATTGATTCTTATGATAAACAGACCTAACACATCAAAAACCACAAACGAGCTAAAAATTCAGAAAAATGTTACAATACAGATGAAACACTAAAATATACCAGAATTCTTAAGAAATCAGGTTTTTAAATTTGAGATGGAGTCTCATTTTGTTGCCCAGGTTGAGTGCGATGCCGCAATTGCAGCTCATTGCAACCTCCACCTCCTGGGTTCATGAGATTCTCCTGCTTCAGCCTCCTGAGTAGCTGGGATTACACGCTCCCACCACCACGCCTGGTAAATATTTTTTTTGAGACAGAGTTTCACTCTTGCCACCCAGGCTGGAGTGCAATGGTGCCATCTCAGTTCATTGCAACCTCCTGGGTTCAAGCAATTATCTTGCCTCAGCTTCCCAAGGAGCTGGGATTACAAGTGCCCACCACCATTCCAGGTTAATTTTTTGTATTTTTAGTAAAGATGGCGTTTCGCTACGTTGGCCAGGCTAGCCTCCAACTCCTGACCTCAGGTGATTTGCCTGTCTCGGCCTCCCAAAGTGCTGGGATTACAGGCGTGAGTCACCACTTCTGGCCTTAATTTTTGTATTTTTAGTTAGAGATGGGGTTTCACCATATAGGCCAGGCTGGTCTCAAACTCTTGACCTCAGGCGATCTGCCCACCTTGGCCTCCCAAAGTGCTGGGAAAACAGGCATGAGCTGCTGGGCCCAGTCAGGAATCAGTTTTGAAGATGAAAAACAAAAAGCATTCAATAAATATGCAAAGTTTCCTAATTCATTATTTTGGTTCCCAAATACTTACTGTTATCTCAAATTTTGTGAAAGAGGACATGTCAATGACACACACAGCTTCCTTACAGCACTTGACTTCAGACTCCACAATATCAAACCAGTCTGGCTTATAGAAAGTCTTGCTCTGCTCCAGTGCCAGGAGGTCTACAGAATGGAAAAATCACAAGGTGGAGAGAAAACAAGGGGGCTTGCACTGGGGAGTCTCCCTGTAGCATTTAGTGTAGTCTAACAGGTGGTTCTTATTTATTCTTCTGTGAACACATTCTAGCTTATGCATCTGAAAATACGTTTTATTAATTTCCAGGACCAAAAAAAAAAGGAGCAAAAATGAGGATGTGACTTCTTACCCTTGTCAGGGGGAACAAAGTACTTTGGCCTCTCAAATCCATGTTTCTCCATCCACCTGGCTCCCTGTGCATCCAGCCGGTCATAGAGAGGAGAAGTGCGTAACTGCCTACCGGTCTGGAAGTCCCAGCGGGGAACCTTCAGATCATACATCAAAGCTACAACAGACAGATGTGATATTTGAGAAGATAAAAGTAATATTCTACCAAATACTTGCTGCAATTACGAAAATATTTGCTAAAATTAATCTTAGAGTTAAACATATTACTGTTAGGTCCTTCACCTCCACGGATGGATGCTCTCTCCCAGACCCAAAGTGAGCACTCAGGCATTAAAGACCATCAGAGTCTTCACCATCAATGCTGTCCAACTACCAAACCAACAGTTACTTGTAACCAAGAATGGTGGTCACAACCAACTCAGAAACTTAGTCCTGAGCATAAGTATGCTCAAAAATATTGAGATATCATTTGGCAAAGTCTGAGAACAGTTCCTCAGTATAGAAAAATGAAATTACAACTTGAATCCACATGGTTTGTTTCAATTTCTTAGCTGTCTCTAAGGGCGTCCTAGAAAATAAATCAGAGATCAAGGCAGAATAACAAATTAAGATGAAGTGGCTATCCTTCAAAGTTGCAGCAGGGCAAGAACAAGGGAATATAACTTTTTTTTTTTTTTTTTTTTTAGATGGAGTCTTATTCTGTCACCCAGACTAGAGGGCAGTGGCTCCATCTTGGCTCACTGCAACCTCTGCCTCTAAGGTCCAAGCAATTCTCTGCCTGTCTCCCGAGTAGCTGGGATTACAGGCCCCCATCACCATGCCTGGCTAATTTTTGTATTTTCAGTAGAGACAGGGTTTCAACATCTTGGCCAGGCTGGTTTTGAACTCTTGACCTCATGATCCACCCACCTCAGCTTCCCAAAGTGCTGGGATTACAGGCATGAGCCACTGCACCTCATCTAGGAATGCATATTTTGTATTTATAAGTAGTTTTCAATCTTGCTGCTGAAAGGTGATTAACAATGAAAGTCGCTCACAGAAGTGTGAAGCTCTGAGAATAACTTGGCAAATTCTCTGACTTGGAAAGGAAACAACTATTTCAAAAACTAATAGGGGAGTGAGAATGTGTTCACTTAGACACAGGGTCTCTCAAGTCAAACTGGGAAGGAGACATTGCTAATAATATTTAGGAAGTTGCTCTAAAAAATAATAATAATAAATAAAAAATTAAAAAAAAATAAAAAAGGAAGCTGCTATGTCCCATCTGTAAATCCTGTTCTATTTTCTTGTTCCCAGAAAGAAACAAGGTCCAAAGCACTAAAGAAAATATTATCTAAGTACCATGTGGAGCATAAAGCCTCTTACTCAGGGACAAACCAGTCAAATCAGATGTCCAAATCAAAGCAGTTGTTAAGGAACTGGGGAAAACTCTGCCCCCTCTGAATGACAACACGGGCCACCAGGCAGGTAACTGCAACTAGAAGCAATTGCGATAAAGCTTCACTCACGCATGACTTCCATGACCCGGTGGCGCAGAAAGGTGCGGCTGCTCTGGAGGGCTCCAAAACGTTTCAGGTCCAATTCCCAAACGTTTTCTGAAGGATAACCATGTACCATCCATTCAGCGAGGTACCTATACAGACAGAGGGCATTTGTTGGGTCTCAGGTGTGACATTTGAGAAGATAAAAGTAATATTCTAGAAATTGAGAACCAACAGAATCAGAAGTTCCTATATTGCCACAGACTAGCTGAATAGTTTTGGGCAATTTCCTTAACTTTTTTGGAAGAAACAAACATGGGTCTGTGTACTGCTCTTAAAATGAAGATTTTACACCTGATGATAAGGTTCCCTAGAAAGTATTTAAGATATAAGCCGGCCAGGCACATTGTCTGATACCTATAATCCCAGACCTTTGGGAGGCTGAGGCAGGGGACTGCTTGAACCCAGGAGTTTGAGACCAGCCTGGGCAACACAGTGAGATCCTGTTTCTACCGGGGGGGGGGGAGTTTCAAAATGAGCCTTGTGTGGTGGCACATGACTTGTAGTTCTAGCTCTTCAGGAGTCTGATGCAGGATGACCCCTTGAGCCCAAGAGTTTGAGACTGCAGTGAGCTATAATGGTGCCACTGTACTCCAGCCTGGGTGAGAGTAAGACCTTGTATCAAAAAAAAAAAAAAAAAGGATAAACCACATGTATAAAGAAATAAGACTAAAACACACACAAATATACTGTAATTTTAAAATCCAATGGTTTTTTTTCTCTGTATAATAGTAACCTTGGCAAGGTGCAGTGGCTCAGACCTGTAATCCCAGCACTTTAGGAGGCTGAGGCAGGCAGATCACGAGGTCAGGAGTTCAAAGACCAGCCTGTCCGATACGGTGAAACCCCATCTCTATTAAAAATACAAAAATTAGCAGGGCATGGTGGCATGTGCCTGTAGTCCCAGCTACTCAGGAGGCTCAGGTAGGAGAATCACTTGAACCCGGGGGCGGAGGTTGCAGTGAGCCAAAATCACGCTACTGCACTCTAGCCTGGGTAACAGAGCGAAACTCTGTCTCAAAAAAAAAAAAAAAAAAAAAGTCACCTCAAGGAGATTGGACCAGATCTCCTTTGCTCCATGTTTTTGGTAATTCCTCTTCTGCTATTGTTTTCAGAGCCATTCTACAAATCACTCAAGAGAACTGGTCTCATAAATTTAAAATACACTTTTCATCATGGCTACCATCTTAACCATGTTAACTATTTGTAAGTGTTGAATTCAGTGGCAGCGGGTACATTCACACTGCTGTGTAACCCTCACCACCATCCACCCCAGAACTCTTGCATTTTTGGAACTCTGTGCTCATTAAAGAACAGCTCCCCTACCACCCTCTGGCAACCACCATTGTACTTTCTGTCTCTATGATCTGACGACTCTAGGAATTTCATTTAAGTGGAACCATTAGCATTTGTCCTTTTGTGACTGGCTTAATGTTCATTAATGTCTAATTTTTAAATGAAAACTTGTGGCTGGGTGCAGTGGCTCATGCCTGTAATTCTAGCACTTAGTGAGGCCTAGGCGGGTGGATCACTTGAGGTCAAGAGTTCAAGACCAGTCTTGCCAACATGGTGAAACCCCATGACTACTAAAAATACAACAATTAGCTGGGTATGGTGGCACATGCCTGTAATCCCAGCTACTTGGGAGGCTGAGGCAGGAGAATCATCTGAACACACTAGGTGGAGGCTGCAGTGAGCCGAGATCATGCCACTGCACTCCAGCCTAGGCGAAAGAGTGAGACTCCATCAAAAACAAAACAAAACAAAAACAAAACTTGAATTACCTAGTTCAGTCACCTACCTCAATCAACATACTGACCAAACTCAAATACACACTCAAATGACCAATATTTGTTACAACTGAAAAAGTACAAAAGCATACCCCACAGGATCTGTGGCTAACTCAAAAAGACAAGCTGCAAAAACATTTTGCTTGATGACATTGCTGGAACATGGGGAGCCTCCCATACTTAGAAGGATACAACTCTCAAATTACATGCATTTTCTCATTAGTCTTAAAATACTAGATTAATTAAATATAACACACCATATTAACAAGTAACTCTAGAAGGGAAGAAACTCACAACCCGACTTACATTCACTGCTGACTTTGAGTGAAAAGGACTTACTTTCCAGCTCCTCCACCAAAAGAAAGGCCAGCAGAGTTCATTCCTGCCAGGACAAAGTAGCCCTGCACTGCAGGAGACTCGCCCATGATGCACCTCATGTCTGGTGTGAAGGTCTCTGGGCAATTCACCAACTTCATGATCTCCAGACTCTCTAATTCTGGCATCCTCCTCAGAAGGGAACTCAATAGAGGCTCTGAGCAATAACAACAAACCCAAATAGAGTTCTCACCTTTAAGGAAGGAATTAAACCACTTTCAACCCCTCTACATTTTTACTCTCTCTCCTTTCAGAAAATCTCTTGGAAGAGATTTTATTTTTTTTTTTTTAAGAAGACCCAACTGGGCCATTTATCAGAAAGCAGATGGCCGGGCATGGTGGCTCACGTCTGTAACCCCAGCACTTTGGGAGGTGGAGGCAGGCAGATCACGAGGTCAACAGATTGAGACCATCCTGGCCAACATGGTGAAACCCTGTCTCTACCAAAAATACAAAAGTTAGCTGGTTGTGAAGGTGTCTGCCTGTAGTCCCAGCTACTCGGGTGGCTGAGGCAGGAGAATAGCCTGAGGAGCCCAGAAGGAGAGTCTACGGTGAGATCACGCTACTGCACTCCAACCTGGCGACAGAGCGAGACTCCAACTTAAAAAAAAAAGAAAAAAGAAAAGAAAGCAGAAACCTTGGTAGAATTACAGGACTCAGCTGCAAAATACTTGGTGTAAAGACTGAGGAAAAAAAGATACTGGTTAGAAAGGAAAGCAGCAGAGAATAGCAAGTAAAATGCACCTACAGATAATAATCTTGAAGGGATCAGTGTGAGTGGAAAAGCTCTTAAATGGCAGCCACAGAGATTTTAATAAAAGGCAATGTTCTGAGCTGGGTACAGTGGCTCGTGCCTGCAATCCTAGCACTTTGGGAGGCCAAGGTGGACGGATCATTTGAGGTCAGGAGTTCAAGACCAGTCTAGCCAAAATGGCAAAACCCAGTCACAACTTAAAATATAAAAATTAGCCAGTTGTGGTGAGCGCCTGTAATCTCAGCTACTCGGGAGGCTGAGGCCAGAGAATCGCTTGCATCTGAGAGGCAGAGGTTGCAATGAGCCGAGATCATGACAGTGCACTCCAGCCTGGGCAACAAAGTGAAACTCGATCTCAAATTTAAAAAAAGCAATGTTCTGGATGACGGGTACATGAGGCCTGATCACACTACTTTCACCACGTTTATTTATTTATTTATTTTTCAGTAGAGACAATCTCCAGTCTCGCCATGTTGCCCAGGCTGGTCTTGACTTTTTGGGCTCCAATGATCCTCCCATCTTGGCCTCCCAAAGTGCTGGAATTACAGGTGTGAGCCACTGTGCCCAGCTTCTATCCACTTTTAAAAGTTTGAAATTTCCCGTAAGAATTATTAAAAACAGAAAGCCCATCAAGGGTCAGAAGGAATTTCTTCATTAGAGACTCTTTCATATCTTTTAAATTTGGGACTAGGTAACTATATTATTTATTCAATAAATTAAAATTTAAAATTTAATAAAAGACTACACTAACAAAACAATATTGAAAATCAAAACAAACCAGCTGGGTGTAGTGGCTCACATCTGTAATTCCAGCACTTTTGGAGGCCAAGGCAGGTGGATCGCTTGAGGCCAAGAGTTCAAGACCAGCCTGGCCAACATGGTGAAACCCTATCTCTACTAAGAATACAAAAATTAGCTGGACATGGTGGTACGTACCTGTAATCCCAGCTACTCGGGAGGCCGAGGCACAAAAATCGCTTGAACCCAGGAGGCAGAGGTTTCAGTGAGCCCAGATTGCACCACTGTACTCCCATATGGGTGACAAAGCAAGACTCTTGTCTCAAAAAAAAAAAAAAAAGACCAGGCACAGTGGCTCACATCTGTAAACCCAGCACTTTGGGAAGCTGAGGCGGGTGGATCACCTGAGGTCAGGAGTTCAAGACCAGCCTGATCAACATGGCGAGACCCTGTCTCTACTAAAAATATAAAAATTAGCCAGGTATGGTGGCACCCGCCTGTAGTCCCAGCTACTCGAGAGGCTGAGGCAGGAAAATCGCTTGAACTCAGGAGGTAGAGGTTGCAGTGAGCTGAGATGATGCTACTGCACTCCAGCCTGGGCAAAGGAAAAAGAAAGAACAAGAAAAATATAACATCTTAGACCAATATGGCACTGTTGTTATAATCCAGTTCACATACCAAAGTGATCCCAATCTTCCTGTAGATTCTGAATCTCTAGCTGGTTCTTGCCCTCAGTGAAAATTGGTTTCGGATTCTTCTCAAAGCCCCCAGACAAGATGCCACCCTGCCAGTTCCGAATATAAATTCTTCCATCAGCATCCACAATAGCTGAGGAAGAGAAATGACAAGGTAGTAGGGAGTGGAAGATAAAACAAGGGTTTAGAAGCAAGCCAGCTTTCTAAATGGACAGAAAAACAAAACAACACCCATTAACGGCTTTACTAATGAAATAACATTCAATGAACACAGGCATTCATTAGCTTTAAAATACCTTTTGAGGTCATGGGAAAGATCCTCCCATTTAGACTTTCAATGCAGACTGTTTCTCTGATTATTCCTTACCTAGAAGCTCTGACTAGTCCTCAAAAGCAAACCATGTAACTGCCACTGTGCCAAGCAAAAATTTAACATAAAAGGGGATTGCAGAGCCCATTCTCGGCATGAAGATCATCAGAAGGATATGAGAACCCTCGCCTACAGTGCTTGGAACTACTAACCCACCTAAGTCTATCGTTCATCTACGACATTTCTACAATCTACAGCATTCAAGTTAAAAAGTCAACAAACAGTCCAAATATTCTCAATGGCCTCTCTTTAGGACTAAAATTAGCTTCCAAAAAACAAAAGCAAAAAAAAATTAATGGAAATTTTGGCTATCCTTTCATAAAGAGTTAATAAAGTCAGAATTGGGTCTGCCTCCCTGTAACATGCTCTAGAAATGAAAGACTCTTTGAGACACAGTCTGTCCTTAGCAGAAAGTTTTCCTTTTCAGAGGACAGGATACTGGCAAAGAAACAAGATTTTTTAAGAAAGTACAAGTCCTCACTTGGTGTGCTGCTCTGCAGAGGGGTCTCCAAGGGGCGAGTCAGGAGGTAGAAGTGTTCGCAGGCATGTAGCGGGATACTAACCGGCTCCTCGTTGGACAGACCCAGCTCGTATGCCCACTACAAATGGACAGGTTGATTTGTGGGTGGGAAGAGGAACAGAAATACAAATGAGCAAGTTTAGCCTCTTGAAAAGAGATTAATTCCAAGTGGCTTATGTGGGCTCTTGCTACAGTGTCAGGTATAGGAAGTCAGCCTGCTTTAGTTCAATTATTTGGATGGGGAGCAATACTATATTTTTTAAGCCATAAAAATTACTTTGAGATCAAAGGAAGAAGTATTTACCAGCTAGTCAAGGAGCTCATGGGAACCAAAGGAGGTCCTTTCGATAAAATGCCTCGGCTCAACTACAAACCCCAAACAGCAATCACTAAATGAACTTCTCATGGCAGAAGTATTTCCCAGTTCACTTCAGGATCATAACATGGAAGGCAATCTGCCTTAAAAGAAACAGCCTAGTGTCTTGGAAATTAAGTGTCCACATTCCTGACACAATAAAATAGCCTAATATTTTATATGCTAGGTTGCAGAATGAATGTAACACCAAGACCCAGTGCCAAGGATTCATGTCAACACCTAACCATTTGCTGGCTTTCCTGACCAGGATAGCACCAATCAGCCCAGTGTGGAGGAAAGACAAGGCCACACATGCTTCTATTTATGTACTAAGTATAGGCTTCTGCTTTAGAACACTGTACAAGAAACAATGTAGTTACTGATATCTATATCATCAATCACACTATTCTTCTCTACCCACAAAAAAAATCCCAGAGAAAAAGATAATATAAGAAAATCAGTGCCCAGTGTTGGTGCTGACCTACCTGGCCAGCACAGTTGACAAAATACTGGCATTCAATCTGTCCTTTATCTGTCTCCACTCCAGTAACTTGACCTTTTTTGACCATTACATGAAGAACAGATGTCCGGTCATAGATCTGGACACCTGTTCCAAGGTAAAGAAAGAGTTGGTGCTTCATCTGATATTTCAGAATAAAGGCATCTGCAACAGGTTCTCCATCCAAAGGAAAACTGGCAAAATCAAGTCAATGCTTTTTTATTTCGCTTATTTTTTGAGATGATGGAGTCTCACTCTGCTTCCGAAGGTGGAGTGTAGTGGTGCAATCATGGCTCACTCTCCGCCTCCTGGGTTCAAGCAATTCTCTGCCTCAGCCTCTCAAGTAGCTGGGATTACAGGTGCATACCACTACACCTGGCTAATTTTTGTATTTTTAACTACATGGTGTTTTCACCATATTGGTCAGGCTGGTCTTGAACTCCTGGCCTCAGGTGATCTGCTCACCTTGGCCTCCCAAAGTGCTGAGATTATAGGCGTGAGCCACCATGCCTAGCTCAATGCTTTAATTAAAAAAAACAAAAAACCCTAGAATCACATCCTGAGACTATGTAAATGGGCCTTGCCCAAGACTGAAAATAGCAAGTCAGTTTAAAAACAGACTTTGGAACACAGTAATTAAATTCCAGGAATCATAAAGTATGGAGCAGAGAAGACAGAACGCAAATAGTGCACCTTAAGTCCTAATCTGCCCATGCCATGAATATGATACCCTGGACACTAGTAACACTGGCTCAATACAACATGGGCTCATGATTTCAGTTGTGTATTAAGCTTCCAAGGTGTATTTTCACCTTGAAGCTTCTCAGGTCCTGAGCAGGAAAAATGTTACCTTAAGTACAAATGGCATTAACTGGCCAGGCGCGGTGGCTCATGCCTGTAATCACAGCACTTTGGGAGGCTGAGGCAGGCAGACCACCTGAGGTGTGGAGCTCTAGACCAGCATGGCCAACAAGGCAAAACCTTGTCTCTACTAAAAATACAAAAATTAGCCAGTTGTAGTGGTGCACACCTGTAGTCACAGCTACTCGGGAGGCTGAAGCAGGAGGATGGCATAAACCCAAGAGGCGGAGGTTGCAGTGAGGTAAGATTGCACCACTGCACTTCAGCCTGGGCAAAAAGAGTGAAGCTCCGTCTCTAAAAAAAAAAAAGGGCATTAATTAGCACTAAAACAAAAGGGCATTAATCAAAACTAAGGTTCTTTGGAACTTTAAAAATGTGGCCCTGAGGTAAAACACGTATTAACAGATAAATAAAATCATAAGACACACTGTTCAAAAATGGAAGCTGAGTACCCCTAAGAGGATAATCTTTCCAAACCTGAGTTGGACACTTCCTTAGGTAACCTCTTCCCTGCTAACCCATCTTAAGAAAATGCAAAAACCCACTCACCATTTTGGGAGGCAGCACTTGCCAGGGCAAGAGCCACGTCAGCAGAGGACACCACTGCATCCTCAGGAACATGCATGGCCCCCACCAGGTCGTGCACGTTGAGGAGATGGTGAAGCTCGGCCACTTTCTTGGGGGAGATGATCTCAGAAGGGATGCCTATAACACTGCCACAGAACACAAGGGAAAATGACATTCACAGGCTCTTTGGCAGAGGCCAGTGTGGTAAAGTCAGGACACACTTCTAGACTCTTACGTACTTCAGTCTTGAGTTGATGCGCTTCAGAGAGATCAGCCGGTCCTGAGTTTGGGCCAGAAAGACTGAGCCTGTCCTTGTGTAACCTGCAAGAAAAATGAGGCCAAATGAGACAGATGAGACCAAATGTAGGATAGGAGAGTGGAAAATCCACTAGATTACGGGTTAGAAGACCTGCAATGAGTCCTGGGACTGTCACTCAATATCCTCGGGCGGGTAAACAGCTTCTCTGAGCTTCTAGGAAAAATTTTAAGAACGTCAGATGCACTAAGGCTCCATGCCTTAACCAAACATTCTCAGCTCAGTTTTGTGAGGTTGTAAGGATCAAATGAAATTCTAGGCTGTGGCACATGCCGGTAATCCCAGCAGTTTGGGAGGCCAAGGCAGGCGGGTCACCTGAGGTCAGGAGTTTGAGACCAGCCTGGCCAGCATGGTGAAACCCATTCTCTACTAAAAATATAAAATTTAGCCGGGTGTGGTGGTACATGCCTGTAATCCCAGCTACTGGGGAGGCTGAGGCGGAAGAATTGCTTGAACCCAGGAGCTTGCACAGTGAGTCGAGATTTTACCACTGTACTCCAGCCTGGGAGACAGAGCAAGACTGTCTAAGGGAAAAAAAAAAAAAAAAAGACTCTTTTGGGCAGGGATTCGACCTCGAACCCATTCCTATTCTTTCCTTTTAGGCAATTTCACCCTTTCTCCTCCTGGTCTTCAGGGAATGTAATCCTTGGCAAAGGCCACTCACAAGAACATCAGCTACTAAGGGTAAGATTTTCCCTTCTTCTTTCCCAGTATAGCCAAACACTGGGCATGTGACTTAAACTCATCAGTAAGACCTTCCTGGAATACTCAGTCTTGAGGACATAGGTGAATGGCTGGAGGTCACCACCTCAAGGGCAGCATTATCTAGGCCAGGCTGCTCCTGTTTCTGCTGAGGGACTGCCTGCTATGCAGTCCCCACATTCTGGCTTCTAGCCTGCTTCCAGCTGGCAGCCTCCTGCCAACTCCACAGGCCCCAAGGTTCTCCCAACAAGCTCCAAGTGTGCCAGAGTCAATTCCTGTTTTTGTGATCAACCTGCCTGATATCGAACCATAATTACATATGGGCCAAATGACAATCTTCGTAAAATGCAATGACTCTTTATTCTTATGAAGAAAAAGTTGAAGCAATTTGGTATCTTATTTTCAAAAGAAAGAAAGTCAGGATATTTTACATGTTTTCTTAATTTCTCTTGAAATCATCAGGTAAATATGCCCTTATTACTGACATGATAAGAATATCCCAGTTTGGAGGAACAGAAATTTCTAAGCCTTCTATTTTAGAAATAGCTGGCCAGTACAGTGATCTCAGCTAGTGATCTATGGGCTAACCACACTCTGAATTTCACCTTAAGATAGATGAAGAGAACCAGGTACAGTGGCTCATGCCTGTACTCCCAGCACTGTGGGAGGCCAAGGTAGGTGGATCACCTGAGGTCAGGAATTTGAGACCAGCCTAACCAATATGGTAAAACTCTGTCACTACTAAAAATACAAAAATTAGCTGGGTATGGGTGCATGTAATGCTAGCTACTCAGGAGGCTGAGGCAGGAGGACTGCCTAAACCCAGGAGGCAGAGGTTGCAGTGAGCCAAGATTGTGCCACTGCACTTCAGCCACTGCACTCCAGGTGACAGACCAAGACTCGGTCTCAAAAAAAAAGGAGACAAGTGTTCAGCAGTTATTTTCTACTCATTATGAAGATTACATACGGGCGAGTGTGAGTGTACATACACCTATACCATACACTATGTTAGGCTGGGTGCAGTGGCTCATGCATGTAATCCCAGCACTTCGGGAAGCTGAGGTGGGCAAATCACCTGAGGTCACGAGTTTGAAAGCAGCCTGGCCAACACGGTGAAACCTTGTCTCTACCAAAAATACAAAAATTAGCTGGGCATAGTGGCCCATGCCTGTATGTAATACCAGCCACTCCTGCTAAGGCAGGAGAATCACTTGAACCTAGGAGGCGAAGGGTGCAGTGAGCTGACATCCCACCCCTACACTCCAGCCTGGGTGACAGAGTAAGACTCTGTCACAACAACATCAACAACAAAAACCATGTTATACTAGGTTAAATCATATTTCCCCAAAGAGAACTATATATCATAACAAACTCAATATGCCACCCATTAACAAAGTTAGAATTCCACTATTTTCCACAAAGGACTTTTTTTTTTTTTGAGATGGAGTTTTGCTCTTGTTGCCCAGGTTGGAGTGCAATGGCACAATCTTGGCTCACCTAAACCGCTACCTCCCAGGTTCAAGTGAACCTCCTCCCTCAGCCTCCCGAGTATCTGGGATTACAGGCATGCACCACCATGTCTTTTTAGTAGAGACAGGGTTTCTCCATGTTGGTCAGGATGGCTTCGAACTTCCAACCTCAGGTGATCTGTCTGCCTTGGCCTCCCAAAGCACTGGGATTACAAGTGTGAGCCACCACGCCTGGCCAATGACTTTTAACCTTTGACAAAGCAAATTAAATGCCAGAATTGCTCTAGCCCAAACCTCAGAAGTTCAGAGGTCACTGGCCAGGCGTGGTGGTTCATGCTTGTAATCCTAATATTTTGGGAGAGTGAGATAAGCAGATCACTTGAGTCCAGGAGTTCGAGGACTAGCCTGGCCAACATGGCAAAACTCTGCCTCTATAAAAACTACAAAAATTAGCCAGGTGTGGTGGCATGCACCTGTAGTCGCAGCTACTCAGGGAGCTGAGGTGGGAGGATTGCCTAAGCAGGGAGGTCGAGGTTACAGAGAGCCAGATTGTACCACTAAACTCCAGTCTGGGTGACAAGAGTGAAACCCTATCTGATTAAAACAAAAAAAGGTTAAGAGTCACAAAACAGAATTCTTACAAATCAATAAGAATAAAAATTAGACATACAGTATTAAATGACAATTCAAAGAAATACAAATGGCCAGTATACCTATGAAATGATGTTTAGTTGAAAGAGATGTAAATTAGAATCTGACAACCTTTTCCATCTCAAAGATTAGAAAAAATTAAAATAATACCCAATGCTGCTGGGCACGGTGGCTCACTCCTGTAATCCCAGGACTTTGGGAGGCCAAAGCAGGCAGATCACCTGAGATCAAGAGTTTGAGACCAGCCTGAGTAACATGGTGAAATCCAGTTTCTACTAAAAATACGAAAATTAGCTGGGTGTGGTGGCAGGCGCCTATAGCCCAAGCTACTTGGGAGGCTGAGGCAGGAGAATCTCCTGAACCCAGGAGGTAGATGTTGCAGTGAGCTGAGATCATGCCACTGCACTCCAGCTTAGCTGACAAGAGTGAGACTTCATCTCAAAAAAAATAAAACCAACATGGAGAGGTATATAAATAAATAAGCACTCTCAGCTGGGTGCAGTGGCTCACGCCTGTAATCCCAGAACTTTGGGAGGCCAAAGTGGGCAGATCACCTGTGGTTGGGAGTTCGAGACCAGCCTGGCTAACAAGGAGAAACCCTTTCTCTACTAAAATACAAAATTAGACAGCTGTGGTGGCACATGCCTGTAATCTCAGCTACTCAGGAGACTGAGGTAGGGGTTGTGGTGAGCACAGATCACTGCACTCCACCCTGGGCATTAAGACCGAAACTACGTGTCAAAATGAATAAATAAATACGCAAGCACTCTCATACAGTTGGTCAGAAGCTGCAACTCTTTTTTTCTTTTTGAAGAGGAAAAAAAAGCACATTTATTGGAGGAGAATACTCATACAGCCACATGATTTTTAAAAGTATAAGACTAAATACGCTTGTTTAAAATTGGAGGATGATTACATTTCATCCAATACAAATTTACAGATTTTCATCTTTTTTTTTTTTTTTCTGAGACAGAGTCTCACTCTGTAGCTCAGACTGGAGTACAGTGGCATGATCTTAGCTCACCGCAACCTCCACCTCCCGGGTTCAAGTGATTCTTCGGCCCCAGTCTCCCAAGTAGCTGGGATTACAGGCGCCTGCCACCACGTGCAGCTAATTTTTATATTTTTAGTAGAGATGGGGTTTCACCATGTTGGCCAGGATGGTCTTTATCTCTTGACCTTGTGATCCACCTGCCTCACCTCCCAAAGTGCTGGGATTACAGGTGTGAGCCACTGTGCCTGGCCTTTTTTGTTATTTTAGAGAGACAAGGTTGGTCCGTGGTCCTGGCTGTGATCATGGCTCACCACATCCTTGAACTGAACTACTGGGCTCAAGGAGTCTGCCTCAGCAGACTGTCCACCTCATCCTCTCAAACATCCAGGACTACAGATATACACCACTACAACCTGCTAATTTTTAAAATTTTTGTAGATATGGGGACCTTCTGACTGGGCATGGTGGCTCATGCCTGTAATCCCAGCACTTTGGGAGGCTGAGCTGGGTGAATTATGACGTCAGAAGTTCAAGACCGGCCGGGCGCGGTGGCTCAAGCCTGTAATCCCAGCACTTTGGGAGGCCGAGGCGGGTGGATCACGAGGTCGAGAGTTCGAGACCATCCTGGTCGACATGGTGAAACCCCATCTCTACTAAAAATACAAAAAATTAGCTGGGCATGGTGGCTCGTGCCTGTAATCCCAGCTACTCAGGAGGCTGAGGCAGGAGAATTGCCTGAACCCAGGAGGCGGAGGTTGCGGTGAGCCGAGATCGCGCCATTGCACTCCAGCCTGGGTAACAAGAGCGAAACTCCGTCTCAAAAAAAAAAAAAAAAAAAAAAAAAAAAAAAAAAAAAAAAAGAAAGAAAAAAAAAAAGAAGTTCAAGACCAGCCTAGCCTATAGGGTGAAATCCTGTCTCTACTAAAAATACAAAAATTACTGGGTGTGGTGGCACATGCCTATAATCCCAGGTACTCAGGAGGCTGAGGCAAGAAAATTGCTTGACTATAGGAGGTGGAGGTGGCAGTGAGCCAAGATCATGCCACTGCACTCCAGCCTGGGCAACAAAGCAAGACTCCCTCTCAAAAAAAAAAAAAAAAAAAAAAAAAAAGATATGGAGCTCTTCCTCCCTTTCTTTCTCTTTCTTCCTTTCTTTTTTGTTTTTTAATTTTTTTTTTTTGGATATGGGGACCTTCCTTTTTTTTTTTTTTTTTTTTTGAGACAGGTTCTCCTTCTAGAGTGCAGTGGCATGATCACAGCTCACTGGGCTCAAAAAGTCAAAAGTTTTAGTAGAGGTGAGGTCTCACCATGTTGCTCAGACTGGTCTCAAACTCCTGGGTTCAAGAGGTCTTCCCACCATGGCCTCTCAAAGCGCTGGGATTACAGATACGAGCCACCATAGCTTGCTTTATTTCTTACACAAAAGTAGCATAGTATATTCTCTCTTTTATGCTCTATTTTACTCAAAAATTTACTCTAAAGCAGTTCACAGAGATCTTCCTCATTTTTTTTTTTTCACCTACCTAGTACTCTTTTGTATGGATGTAACATTTTTTTCAACCCATCTCCTTTCTACATATGGGCATTTAAGGATCAATCTTTTTTTTTTTTTAATACTTTTTTTATTTTTATTTTTAAAGACGGGGTTTCACCATGTTGGTCAGGCTGGTCTTGAATTCCCGACCTCAGGTGATCCACCCGCCTTGGCCTCCAAAGTGCTTGGATTACAGGCGTGAACCACCACGCCCGGCAGGAGCAATCTTATGTTTGCAAATACACAGCGCTACAATAAATAAACATATATTTTTGCATAAAAAATTCTTTTTCTGGAGCAGGGGACAGAGTCTTGCTCTGTGATCTAGGCTGGAGTGCAGTGGCATGATCTCAGCTCACTGCAACCTCTGCCTCTCAGATTCCAGCGATTCTCCTGCCTCAGCCTTCCGGGTAGCTGGGACAACAAGTGTGCCCCACCACACCTGGCTAATTTTTGTATTTTCAGTAGAGACAGGGTTTCACCATATTGGTCAGGCTGGTCTCAAACTCATGACCTCATGATCTGTCCGCCTTGGCCTCCCAAAATATTGGGATTTCAGGCATAAGCCACCATGCCTGGCTACATAAAACATTCTTTTTTTTTTTTTTTTTTTTTTTTTTAAGACGGAGTTTCGCTCGTTACCCAGGCTGGAGTGCAATGGCGCAACCTGCGCTCACCACAACCTCCGCCTCCTGGGTTCAGGCAATTCTCCTGCCTCAGCCTCCTTAGAAGCTGGGATTACAGGCACACACCACCATGCCCAGCTAAACATAAAACATTCTTTTTTTTTTTTTGCGACGGAGTTTCGCTCTTGTTACCCAGGCTGAAGTGCAATGGCGCGATCTCGGCTCACCGCAACCTCCGCCTCCTGGGTTCATGCAATTCTCCTGCCTCAGCCTCCTGAGTAGCTGGGATTACAGGCACGTGCCACCATGCCCTGCTCATTTTTTGTATTTTTAATAGAGACGGGGCTTCACCATGTTGACCAGGATGGTCTCAATCTCTTGACCTTGTGATCCACCCAACTCGGCCTCCCAATGTGCTAGGATTACAGGCTTGAGCCACCGCGCCCGGCCCCATAAAACATTTTTTTTTTTTTTTTTGAGACGGAGTTTCGCTCTTGTTACCCAGGCTGGAGTGCAATGGCGCGATCTCGGCTCACCGCAACCTCTGCCTCCTGGGTTCAGGCAATTCTCCTGCCTCAGCCTCCGGAGTAGCTGGGATTACAGGCACGCGCCACCACGCCCAGCTAATTTTTTGCACCTTTAGTAGAGACGGGGTTTCACCATGTTGACCAGGATGGTCTCGATCTCTTGACCTCATGATCCACCCGCCTCATATATATATATATATATATATATATATATATATATATATATTTTTTTTTTTTTTTTTTTTTTTTTTTTTTTTTTTTTGACAGAGATAAGAGTATCACTATGTTGGCCAGGCTAGTCTCAAACTCCTTGCCTCAAGTAATCAGACTACTTCAGCCTCCCAAAGAGCTGGGATTACAGGCATGAGCCACCATACCCAGCCTATTATAAGGAATATTTTCAAAAGATTATTAGAACTTTTAAATAGTCACACTGATTCCATTCGCTTGACAAAAAAATTTTATCACATACAAACTGAAGCACTGCAGAAACTAATATTCAGCATAGTCAAGGAACGAAAAATCTTAGAGTGATCTGGTATTTTGAATTAAAAAGTAGTTAATGTAACACCTCACCAGAATGAACTATTTTCAGAAGATTAGCAGAGAATACAGTTGTCCCTCCATATCTGTGGGTTCCACATCAGTGGATTAGATTAATCTCAGATTAAAGATATTCACAGGAAAAAAAATTCCACAAAACTCCAAAGCGCAAAACTTGAATGCGCCCTGTACGAGGTATTGTATTGAATCCACACAAGGAATTGATGTGCAGGCAGTGTATTACGTATTATAAACAATCCAGAGATGATTTAAAGCAAGGGTCCTCAACCCCTAGGCCACAGACTGGTAATGGTCTGAGGCCTGTTAGGAACCGGGCTGCACAGCAGGAGGTGAGTGGTGGGAGAGCAAGCATTACCACCTGAGTTCACCTCCTTTCAGATCAATTCCCATAGGATCGAGAACCACGTTGTGAGCTGCACATGCAAGGGACCTAGGTAGCATGCTTCTTATGAGACTCTAATGCCTGATAATCTGTCAGTGTCTACAATCACACCCAGATGAGACCATCTAGTTGAAGGAAAACAAGCTCAGGGATCCCACTGATTCTACATTAAGGTGAGTTGTATAATTATTTTGGGAGGTTGAGGTGTGAGAACTGCTTGAACCTGAGAGGTGGCAGTTGCAGTGAGCCAAGATCGTGCCACTGCTCTCAGCCTGGACAACAGAGCAAGACTGTTTCAAATTTTAAAGAAGGAAAAAAAAAAAGAAAAGAAAAAATACATGTCTACGCTTTATAATAAAAAATATCCTTAAGGTCAGGTGCGATGGCTCACGTCTGTAATCCCAGCACTTTAGGAGGCCGAGGCAGGCAGATCACTTGAGGTCAGGGGTTCCAGGCTGAATAACCACCACCTCTACTAAAAATCCAAAAATTGGCCAGGCATTGTGGTGTGTGCCTGTAACCCCAGCTACTACTAGGAAGGATGAGGTAGGATAATCGCTTGAACACGAACTTGAGGGTGCAGGAGTCAGGGCAGGGCAGAGGTTGCAGTGAGTCAAGATCGCACCACTGTACTCCAGCCTGGGTGACAGAGTGAGATTAAGTCTCAAAAAAAAAAATACAAATATATACTTAATAGCAGGTGGTGAAATTTCAGCGGGTCAAACTATGATTTAACTGTCCAGCCCCTAAACTGAAATTCTTTCTCCTCCTCTTTGTTTAGGAGCCAAGTGGTGTCATTTACTATGCTTCAATGAGTCATACACAGGAAACGGCCCAGGAAAACTTTCATATGACAAGAATTATAGGACCTGAAAAGGATCAGGATACTGACTGAATACCTTCATTTTATAGATGGGGAAACTGAAAACAGCTCAACAAGCTAAGTGACTTGCCCTGATTGGTGGCAGAGCCTGGCCTAAAACCCAAGTCTTAATTACCAAAGCAGCAGGCAAACCTGGCAAAGGGCCAAATACAGAAGTGAATCTAACAGTCTGGGAGACAGGCAAACCAGTAAATAGCAGACACTTTCTTACCTGTTTGGATCCCTGTTTCTTGCTCTAGCTGATGGTAGAGTTTGTTTGAGTAGTCTGCCATCTTCTGTTCAATGGTCAAGTGCCTGGCAGTGCTCAGGATGCCAGCACAGAACCTGGTAGAGCCAGCAGCCAGCCTGCAGGATGGATGCAAACTGCTATTAGGTAGATTTATCTATCTGTGAAAACAAGGTCAAGGTTTCTCACTATACTACTGTTTCTAATACCAAAATATAGAAAGAAGCTGGGCACAGGGGCGCACATTTATAATCCCAGCACTTTAGGAGGCCAAGGTAGGAGGATTGTTTAATGACAGGGGTGTGAGACCAGCCTGGTCAACATAGGGAGATCCCATCTCTACCAACAACAACAAAAAAATTAGCCAGGCGTGGTGGCACATGCCTGTAGTCCCAGCTACGTGGGAGGCTGAGGCCAGAGGATCCCTTGAGTCCACAAGGTAGAGGCTACAGTGAGCTATGATCACGCCACTATACTCCAGCTTGGGCAACAGACTGAGAAAAATATTCATTGACATGGGACAGATTTAAAATTTTTGGAGAGTTTAGGCCAGGTACAGAGGCTAATGCCTATAACCCCAGCACTTTTAGGGGCTGAGGTGGGAGGATCACCTGAGGCCAGGAGTTCAAGACTGGCCTGGGCAATATAGCCAGACCCTGTCTCTATGGAAAAAAAAAAAAAAATCCAGGCTACTTGGGATGGTGAGGCAGGAGAATCCCCTGATTCTAGAAGTTTGAGGCTGCAGTAAGCTAGGATTGTGCTACTCCACTTCAGACTAAGAAACACAACAAGACTTGATCATAAAATAAATAAAATAAAAAATTTGGAGTTCATCTATACAATGGAATACTATGCAGCTATAAAAAAGAATGAGAGGCCAGGCGAGGTGGCTCACATCTATAATCTCAGCACTTTGGGAGGCTAAGGCAGGGAGATCACAAGGTCAGGAGTTCAAGACCAGCCTGGCCAATACAGTGAAACTCCATCTCTATTAAAAATACAAAATTAGCCAGGCATGGTGGAACGCACCTGTGGTTCCAGGTATTCAAAAAGCTGAGGCAAGAGAACCACTTGAACCTAGGAAGTGGAGGTTGCAATAAGCCAAAATTGCACCACTGCACTCCAGCCTGACAGAAAAAGTCAGATTGAGAACATATCTTTTTATTGTACACTCTTTTACATATTTTCTTTTATTTCGGTGGCAGGGGGGGCGGAGTGGGGGGGCGGGGCGCAGTTTTGCTCTTGTCACCCAGCTGGAGTGCAATGGCACGATCTTGGCTTACTGCAACTTCCACCTCCTGGGTTCAAGGGATTCTCCTGCCTCAGCCTCCTGAGTAGCTGAGATTATAGGCACCTGCTACGGTGCCTGGCTTTTGTTTTGTTTTGTTTTGGAGATGGAGTTTCACTCTTGTCGCCTATGGTAGAGTGTAATGGTGCAATCTTGGCTCACCACAACCTTTGCCTCCTGGGTTCCCTGAGTTCAAGAGATTCTCCTGTCTCAGCCTCCTAAGCAGCTGGGATTATAGGCATATGCCTCCATGCCCAGCTAAATCTGTATTTTTAGTAGAGACAGGGTTTCTCCATGTTGGTCAGACAGGTCTCGAACTTCCGACGTCAGGTGATCCGCCCACCTCGGCCTCCTAAAGTGCTGTGATTACAGGTGTGAGATACCACGCATGGCCAATTTTTGTATTTTCAGTAGAGACAGGGTTTTGCCATGTTGGCCAGGCTGATTTTAAATTCTGACCTCAGGTGATCCACCCACCTTGGCCTCTCAAAGTGCTGGGATTATACACATGAGCCACCATGCCCAGCCTCTTTCACATATTTTCAATTTTGAATCATATAAATACATTGCCTATTCAAAAGTACATAAACTTTAAATTAGAAAAAAAGTTCTCTGCCGGGTGCGGTGGCTCAAGCCTGTAATCCCAGCACTTTGGGAGGCCGAGGCGGGTGGATCACGAGGTCAAGAGATCGAAACCATCCTGGTCAACATGGTGAAACCCCGTCTCTACTAAAAATACTAAAAATTAGCTGGGCATGGTGGCGTGTGCCTGTAATCCCAGCTACTCAGGAGGCTGAGGCAGGAGAATTGCCTGAACCCAGGAGGCGGAGGTTACGGTGAGCCGAGATTGCGCCATTGCACTCCAACCTGGGCAACAAGAGCGAAACTCCGTCTCAAAAAAAAAAAAAAAAAAAAAGTTCTCTAATTTACGGTAGCAACATAACATAAAGAGCTACAGTAATGCTAGGGCCCCATACAGATAGGGTTTTGCCATGTTGGCCAGGCCAGTCTCCAACTCCTGACTTCAGGTGATGCATCTGCCTCAGACTCCCAAAGTGCTGGGATTACAGGCATGAGCCACTGTGCCTGGCTGAGGCATAATTTTTTTTTTTTTTTGAGACTAAGTCTTGCTCTGTCACCCAGGCTGGAGTGCAGTGGCACAATCTCAGCTCACTGCAACCTTCACCTCCCGGGTTCAAGCGATGTTCCTGCCTCAGCCTCCTGAGTAGCTGGGATTACAGGCACACACAATCACTGCTGGTTAACTTTTGTATTTTTAGTAGGAATAGGCCTCTACCATGTTGGCCAGGCTGGTCTCAAAACTCCTGACATCAGGTGATCCACCTGCCTTGGCCTCCCAAACTGCTGGGATTACAAGCGTGAGTGACCGTGCCTGGGCAGCATAAATATTTTTAAGTGCGAGGTGCAAACAGTTTGCCTTATGTCAATTATAAGGCATTATATAATCTTGAAGCAACAAATTAAACCAAAAATGAACCTCCCTAGGGTCTCCCACTTATGCACATTTACACTGAAATTAGTTCATCATTTTTTGTGGAAATACCTGATAATTAAATTTAAAAGAATTTCAATAAATAGGAGAAAGACTATGACATCAAGGAAGCATTATGAGGCCAGGTGCAGTAGCCCATATCTGTAACTCCGAAAGTCTGAGAGGCTGAGGTGGGTGGATTGCTTAAACCAGGAGTTTTGAGACTTGCCTGGTCAACATGGTGAAATCACATCTCCACCAAAAATACAAAAAATTAGCTAGGCATGGCAGTACGTGCCTGTGGTCCCAGCTACTCACAAGGTTATGGTGGGAGGATCACTTGAACCCAAGAGGTAGAGGTTATAGTGAGCTGAGATCGAATCACTGCACTCCAGCCTGAGTGACAGCACGAGACCATCTCAGAAACATTAACAAACACAAAAACTCACTTTTGCTCTTAAAAGTATCCACTGCAGGCCGGGTATTGTGGTTCACGCCTGTAATCCCAGCACTTTAGGAGGCCAAGGCAGGCAGATCAGATGAAGTCAGGAGTTTGAGACCTGCCTGGCCAACATGGTGGAACCCTCTCTCTACTAAAAATACAAAAATTAGCCAGGCATGGTGGTATGAGCCTGTAATCCCAGTCACTTCACTTGGGAGTCTGGGGCAGGAGAAATCACTGGGACCCAGGAGGCAGAGGCTGCAGTGACCTGAGATCACATCACTGTACTCCAGCCTGGGTGACAGAAAAAGATTCTGTCTCAAAAAAAAAAAAAAAAAAAAGTATCCACTGCATAAAATAGAAATCCATGAGTCTAAACTGATATGTGTGTGTGTATATATATTCAGATACATAATTGAGTAAATAAATGGGGGAGAAGGAAATCTCTGACAGCAATATGCCAACTATAATAAATGCAGAAAATCAACATTTGTCAACCATCATGGTGGCGGCTGACTCAGGAAACAGTTGTCAATGGATATTAAGCCTGGTAGGTGGAGGTCTGATACGAAGAGGATATTGGCATAATCTCAGAATCCATCTCTCCTCACAGGGCACTGGACCGTCACAAGGAAAGAAAACAAGGACTCTGTGCTTGAGATTCTTGGAGGACACCAATGTATCTGGATGATCATGGTTATCACCACCAGAAGTAAGACAGTATAGCCATGCACCTCCTTACGTGTTGCACCGTAGAGAGTCCAGCCTAATTTCTGTGGTCTTACTGCCAAAAATGTATGGGCTGGTTGTGATGATAGAGACACAACTCTGTGAACAGACTTAGCACTTAACAAGGATGAGTGGCATGGTATGCAAATTATATCTCAAAGCAGTGGTGTTTGTAAAAGTCTCTGACCTGAGTCTGATGATAAAAAAACAGTCTGGGTAGCCGGGTGCCGAGGCTCATGCCTGTAATCCCAGCACTTTGGGAGGCTAATGCAGGTGGATCACGAGGTCAGGAGTTCAAGACTAACCTGACCAACACGGTGAAACTCCATCTCTACTAAAACTACAAAAATTAGCTGGGTGTGGTAGCACATGTCTGTAATCCCAGCTACTCAGGAGACTGAGGCAGGAGAATTGCTTGAACCCAGGAGGTGGAGGTTGCAGTGAGCCAAGATCATGTGACTGCATTCTAGCCTGGACGAAAGAGTGAGACTCTGTCTCAAGAAAGAAAAAAAAGAAAGCCTGGGCAACATAGGGAGAACTCATCTCTACAGAAAAATACAAAAACACAAAACAAAACAAAAAAAATTAGCCAATTAGCCAGATGTGGTGGTGCATGCCAACAGTCCCAGCTATTCGGGAGGCTATGGCAGGAGGATTGCTTGAACCTACGAAGTCAAGGCTGCAGTTATTATCAGCTATTATCGCGTGATTGCACTCCAGTGTGAGTGACAGAGCCAGACCCCATCTCAAAAAAAAAAAAAAAAAAAAGGAAAAAGAAAACAACATTAGCTAAATACAGGTTGACAATTATCACAGTGAAAGGGCTATATTCTTTTTTTCTTTTTTTTTTTTTTTGAGAAAGCATCTCACTCTGTTGTCCAGGCTGAAGTGCAGTGGCACAATCTCCAATCATTGCAACCTCCACCTCCTTTTTTTTTTTTGAGATGGAGTTTCACTCTTGTTACCCAGGCTGGAGTGCAATGGCATGATCTCGGCTCACTGCAACCTCCGCCTCCTGGGTTCAGGCAATTCTCCTGCCTCAGCCTCCTGAGTAGCTGGGATTACAGGCATGCACCACCATGCCCAGCTGATTTTTTGTATTTTTAGTAGAGACGGGGTTTCACCATGTTGACCAGGATGGTCTCGATGTCTTGACCTCGTGAATCCACCCGCCTCGGCCTCCCAAAGTGCTGGGATTACAGGCGTGAGCCACCGTGCCCGGCCAACCTCCGCCTCCTGAGTAGCTGGGACTACAGGCATGTGCCACACCATGCACAACTAAGTTTAGTATTTTTAGTAAAGATGGGATTTCACCATGTTGGCCTGGCTGGTCTCAAATTCCTGACCTCAGGTGATCCAACCTCTTCGGCCTCCCAGAGTGCTGGGATTACAGGTGCGAGTCACCATGCATGGCCAATATTGTTTTATGAATTTAATGCTACTTGTGTAGTGGTATGATATTAATTAATGGTGGATTATAAGAATCTCTTCTGTAATCTCTGTAACTATTATAAATATAAAGGGATTTAGCTTACAAGCCAAAACAGCAGAAAACATTTGACCTAAAAGAAGGCAAGCACACAGAAATAAAGCCTATGAAACCTATTTCTTTTGGAGAATGAGAACAATACTAAGAACCTAGCAATTAAGTGAACACAAGCAGTTGTCTACTTTGCTTAAATACAATCTACATTATTCACAAATGCAATTTTTTGTCAAAGTCTAAAATGTTGCTGGGTACAGTGGGTCACACCTGTAGTCCCAGCACTTTGAGAGGCCAAAGTGGGAGGACTGTTTGAGACTAGGAGTTCAAGCGCAGCCTGGGTAAGAAAGCAAGATCCGCCGGGCGCGGTGGCTCAAGCCTGTAATCCCAGCACTTTGGGAGGCTGAGGCGGGTGGATCACGAGGTCGAGAGATCGAGACCATCCTGGTCAACATGGTGAAACCCCGTCTCTACTAAAAATACAAAAAATTAGCTGGGCATGGTGGCGCTTGCCTGTAATCCCAGCTACTCAGGAGGCTGAGGCAGGAGAATTGCTTGAACCCAGGAGGCGGAGGTTGCGGTGAGCCGAGATCGCGCCATTGCACTCCAGCCTGGGTAACAAGAGCGAAACTCCGTCTCAAAAAAAAAAAAAAAAAAAAAAAAAAAGAAAGCAAGATCCTGTCTACCAAAACAAAAAAAGACAAAGAAAGGAAACTTGTCACCTCTCTAAAAATCAGAGAACATGAGCATTATTAGTCATCTTTAAAAAGTTCAGGAGATTCCACCTTGATTCTTCTGATGCTACTTAGGAACATTCAGATTAGCTTCTGAGAAGTAGGGCAGTATCTCTGAAAGGAGAGGAGGGAACGAGGGAATCTTATCATTAGTGCAGCATGGCCAGTCATGACCAAATGCAGTCTGATCCTTACCTGCCCTGCTCCAAAAGGACAATATCCTTCCACCCCATTTTGGAGAGGTGATAGGCCACGGATGTGCCCATGATTCCACCCCCACAGATGACCACCTGTGCCTCGGTGGGCAGGGCCACGGAACGTGCCTCGGCAGCTGACGTGCTGCTTCCTGCAGAGGACCAGTTCTGCCATCCTGGGCTGGTTCTTTGTCTTCCAACAACTGACAGCAACCGGCAGAACATCACTTCTTTCAGCAACCAGCAGATCTCAGGAATTCAAACTAGACAGAGAAACCAAACATATTTCACGCCATTCAACTCAGTGCTCAGGATTAATGAGAAAAGGATTTGACAAAGAACAGTAGTCATTCATTCAACACATATATGAGGGCACACTGAGTTTCATTCTGCTAGCAGTGAACAAGAATGGGGAAGTCCCTATCTTTATGAAACTGACATTTGAGAGTTTACATATGGAAACAAGGAGGGGGCAATCACACAAATAAAACAAGTAAATAAAACTGATGTGATAGAATAACTAGGGGCATATTTCAAATGGAATGGTCAAGAACAGCCTCTAAGGAACTGACATCTGAAAACAGATCTGAAGGATAGGGAACCAGTTACACATGTGCAAAGGCCTTGAGGTAAGACCGATCAAGAACAAAAAGGAAGTCAGCATGTACACAACATGGGGAATGGGGGACAAGATCTAAGACAACACTGGAGAGGCAGGCAAAAATCAATCACACAGAGTCCTCGGTTGCCATCAACAGGAGCTTGAATTTTATTCTAAGTACAAAGGAAAATCACTAACACAGGGGAATGAAACCATCTGGGATGTTTTTCTTTTTTTGGTGGGGGCGGGGAAGGGATTTTTTTTTTTCAAAGGTCAGTCTGGCTCCATTGTCGAGAGTGGATGGTAGAATTACAAGAAAAACAGAGTTGACCTCCTGGGCTCAACCTCGGTCTCCCAAAGTGTTGAGGTTATTTATAGGCATCAACCACTGCACTTGGCCAAGGCAGGGTTTTAACAAACTTAATCTAACAGCAAAACAGATGACTGTTCAAGTTTCAAGAAACTGAATAAAGGAAGACCTACTGGCTGTCCATGCAGTCATTTGTACAGGAAGAGGAGGACTTTGAGATGAGACGTGGCAGACCAGGGGGTCCTCAGGGCAGCTCACTGCTAGTCATCTTACCGCCTCCACTGCTAGCCACAGGACCCAGAGATGCTTCCCAATCAACCCAAATCATCTAAGGCCATGGTCTCTCAGAGGACTCTCAGAATTGCAACCAATGCAAACATAGACTGTGTCCAGGCAGATATCCCATACAACTGCAGGCAAATAATCTTGGCCACCTTGTGGTTGCTACCATGCCTCTCATCCCTAGTCCCTGTTAAGCTCTGTCTCAAGATAAAGCCTTCTCTACACAGCTAGTCTTTCCATAATCTCATCTCCACATGACCAATTTATTTCCCTCACGCGAGCTCTCTTTGCTTTCCTCCCGCTCAAGCCCCTCTACTGCACCCTCTAGAATACCTTTCCCAAAGGTAAACAATTACCCCTTTGCTGACATTCTCTCTACCCTGTCCCAATGGCAATGCAGCTTTCCCGGGGAACTGCCGCTGCCAAATGGCAAACCCTGTCCCAGTGACTTTGCTGCCATCCTCCTGGCTTCTGACCCGTTACCACTTGGTTATACTTCAAAACTGCCCTGCTCCTTGGTGGCTTAGGCTAACACATGGTAAGCCACAGGCAGACCTCTGTACTGTTTCCGAGCCCAGCTGCTCCTCTCTCAACCTTCTGTCTTACGATCTTTCTTTCCTCAATCTAAGCAGAAAACCTGTCTCATCTCATTCCCTGAAACCCTTCCTATAGACCCACTTGCATCTGCAATCATCTCTTCCTTCCTTTATAAAACAGAATGTTAATCTCCCCAAGTGCCCTGGATTCCACTTCTTCCTCTTCTCTTGCCCCTAGCTCCATCAACTGCTGTCTCTCTTTCATGTACCTGCAATGTTTCCCTCCCTTTTTGCTTCTTTTCCTCAGCATCTTTAAATTTTTTTTTTTTTTTTTTTTTTTGAGATGGAGTCTCACTCTGTCACCCAGGCTGGAGTGCAATGGCACAATCTTGGCTCACTGCAACGTCCGCATCCCGGGTTCAAGCAATTATCCTGCCTCAGCCTCCTGAGTAGCTGGGACTACAGGTGTGTGCCACCATACCAGCTAATTTTTGTGTTTTTAGAGATGGGGTTTCACCATGTTGATCAGGCTGGTCTCAAACTCCTGACCTCAGGAGATCCACTCACCTCGAGCATCCCAAAGTGCTGGGATTACAGGCATTAGCCACCAAGCCTGGCCTCAGTGACTGTCTGATGCCCTCAGGAAAAAGGCAAAATTCTTTTACTATCAACTGCAGGATCCTTCACAATCTGGTTCTTATCTGTGGTCTCACTTCTCCTCTCCTCACGCTCTGATCAAGCCAGACTGAACAACCTGTAATTCCTCAAAGGTATCAGGTGAGGCGTGAATGTTCTATTCAGCTCTGGGTTCTGTGCATGCTGTTCCCTACTGGCATGGTTCCTGCCACCCCTCCCCCAAATATAGGTAATCTCAGGTTGTAGCCTCTTTGACATCTTATCTGACACACTCACTCTCCTACCCCAACACTTGGTTAGGTGGCTCTTCCATGTTTTCCTATAACAAACTGCACTTCTCCCAGGACAGAATTTACCATGCTGCACGATGGTGTGTCTGCCAATCAGAGAAGCAACACACCAACACAGCAGGGAATCCAGGCTTTGTGGGTGGAGACGACTGGGTCTGAAAACATTCCCCACCTCTCACTAGCTGTATGACTTCCAGTAAGTTACTAAATCTCTATGCTTTGAGGTCCTTTTTTTTTTTTTTTTTTTGAGATGGAGTCTTGCTCTATCACCAGGCTGGAGTGCAGTGGTGAGACCTCAGCTCACTGCGACGTCAGCCTCCTGGGTTCAAGTAATTCCTCTATCTCAGCCTCCCGGGTAGCTGGGACTACAGGTGCACACCACCATGCTCGGCTAATTTTTCTGTTTTAAGTAGAGACGGGGTTCCACCATGTTTGCCAGGCTGGTCTTGAATTCTTGAGCTTGTTATCCACCCACTTTGGCCTCCCAAAGTGCTGGAATTATAGGTGTGAGCCACTGTGCCCAGCCTGAGGTCCTCATCTGTAACATGGGCTAGGAACACCTACCTCACATGACTGCTGCAAAGACTAAATCAGATAATGCAGGAAGAACATGGTACAGGCACCTAAGAAGCACTCAGTGAGTGGTAGTTATTCTTTATTTATTTTTTGAGATGGAGTCTTGCTCTGTCGCCAGACTGGAGTGCAGTGGCACGATCTTGGCTCACTGCAACCTCCATCTCCTGGGTTGAACCAATTCTGCTGCCTCAGCCTCCTGAGTAGCTGGGACTACAGGCACATGCCACCTCGTCTGGCATTATTTTTTATATTTTAGTAGAGACATGGTTTCACCATGGCCAGGATGGTCTCGATCTCCTGACCTTATGATTTGCCTGCCTTGGCCCCCCAAAGGGCTGGGATTGTAAGCACGAGCCACCACACCCCGCCTCTTTATTATTTTTTAAGACGAGGTCTCACTCTGTCACCCAGGCTGGAGTGCAGTGCCATGGTCATGGATCACTGCAGTCTCAACCACCCAGGCTCAAGCGATCCTCCCACCTAAACCTCCAGAGTAGCTGGGACCACAGGTGTGCACCACCGCACCCAGCTAATTTTTAAATTATGAATATTTGTAGAGATGGGGGGGTCTCACTTCCTTGCCCAGGCGGATCTTAAGCTCCTGACCTCAAGTGACCTGCCCACCTTGGCCTCCCAAAGTGCTGGAATTACAGGTATGAGCTACCACACCTGACCTATTATTTCCTTATTATAATGGAACTAAAGAGTAGAAACCTTATAAATTGGTCAATTTTCCTAGCATTCCACACAGGAACCTAGGAAATACTCTCTGTTCATGAATGAGAACAGAAAACAAAGAAGATGGGGGAAAAAAAATCAATGATCACTCAGAGATCTCAAAGGTAGGCCCCCAGATTTGAGGGAGTATCTAAATACCTGAGAGAATTATTTTTACTTTTGTTTATTTCTTTTGAGATGGAGTCTTGCTCTGTAGCCCCGACTGGAGTGCAGTGGCATGATCTCGGCTCACTGCAACCTCTACCTCCCCGGTTCAAGCAATTCTCCTGCCTCAGGCTCCCAAGTAGCTGCGATTACAGGCACGTGCCACCACATCCAGCTAATTTTTTTGTATTTTTAGTAGAGACAGGGTTTCACCATGCTGGCCTGGCTGGTCTCGAACTCCTGACCTCAGGTGATCCACCTACCTTGGCCTCCCCAAAGTGCTTACAGGCATGAGCCACTATGCCCAGCCATTTGTAAAGCTAATTTTTTTTTTTTTGAGACGGAGTTGCGCTCTTGTTACCCAGGCTGGAGGGCAATGGTGCGATCTCGGCTCACTGCAACATCCGTCTCCTGGGTTCAGGCAATTCTCCTGCCTCAGCCTCCTGAGTAGCTGGGATTACAGGCATGCGCCACCATGCCCAGCTAATTTTTTGTATTTTTAGTACAGATGGGGTTTCACTATGTTTAGCAGGATGGTCTCGATCTCTTGACCTCGTGATCCACCCACCTTGGCCTCCCAAAGTGCTGGGATTACAGGAGTGAGCCACTGCGCCCGGCCAAAGCTAATATTTTTATAAGGAGTTACAATGCACCAGATACTGCCTATGTATATGACTAATTTAATCTTTACAACCCTGTGCGGTAGACATTACCCTTTCTATTCTACACTTGAAGAAACAGTCACAGGTAAGAGGAGGTGGCTCACCCAAGGTCCTACCAAACTGTTGGGTAGCAGAACTCTGCCAATCTGGCACTAGCAGCCTGTTATTTAATCATGGCTCCATGCTACCTTCCAAATAAAAGCAGATGGTAGGGAAATGACAGCTGTGAGGACTGAACGATTAGGCACATCCCCCTAACAGGAAAAAGAGAATTGCAAAGGTGGCAGAAGAAACACAGTAACAGATGAGTTTTAAGATGCAATTTTAAAAAAACTTTAGGCCAGGTGCAGTGGCTCATACCTGTAATCCCAGTATTTTGGGAGGCCGAGATGGGTGCATCACTTGAGGTCAGGAGTTCAAGACCAGCCTGGCCAACATGGCAAAATCTTATCTCTACTAAAAACACAAATACTAGCTGGGCATGGTGGCGGGTGCCTGTAGTCTCACCTACTCAGGAGGCTGAGGTGGGAGAATCAGTGGCGCCTGGGAAGCGGAGGTTGCAGTGAGCAGAGAGCACGCCAGTGCACTCAAGCCTAGGCAACAGAGCAAGAGTCTGTCTTAAAAAACAACAACAACAACAACAACAACAACAACAACAACAACAACAGGCAGGGCGCGGTGGCTCAAGCCTGTAATCCCAGCACTTTGGGAGGCCAAGGCGGGCAGACCACAAGGACAAGAGATTGAGACCAACCTGGTCAACATGGTGAAACCCCGTCTCTACTAAAAATACAAAAATTGGCCGGGCGTGGTCGCTCAAGCCTGTAATCCCAGCACTTTGGGAGGCCGAGGCGGGTGGATCACGAGGTCGAAAGATCGAGACCATCCTGGTCAACATGGTAAAACCCCGTCTCTACTAAAAATACAAAAAATTAGCTGGGCATGGTGGCGCGTGCCTGTAATCCCAGCTACTTAGGAGGCTGAGGCAGGAAAATTGCCTGAGCCCAGGAGGCGGAGGTTGCGGTGAGCCGAGATCGCGCCATTGCACTCCAGCCTGGGTAACAAGAGCGAAACTCCGTCTCAAAAAAAAAAAAAAAAAAATACAAAAATTAGCTGGGTGTGGTGGCGAGCGCCTGTAGTCCCAGCTACTCGGGAGCCTGAGGCAGGAGAATTGCTTGAACCCAAGAGGCGGAGATTGCAGTGAGCCAAGATTGTTCCACTGCACTCCAGCCTAGCACCTGGCAACAGAGACTCTGTCTCAAAACAAAAAAACAAAAAAACACGCCGGGCGCTGTGGCTCAAGCCTGTAATCCCAGAACTTTGGGAGGCCGAGGCGGGTGGATCATAAGGTCAAGAGATCGAGACCATCCTGGTCAACAAGGTGAAACCCTGTCTCTACTAAAAACACAAAAAATTAGCTGGGCATGGTGGCACATGCCTGTAATCCCAGCTACTCAGGAGGCTGAGGCAGGAGAATTGCTTGAACCCAGGAGGCGGAGGTTGCGGTGAGCCAAGATCGCGCCATTGCACTCCAGCCTGGGTAACAAGAGTGAAACTCCGTCTCAAAACAAACAAACAAACAAACAAACAAAAAACAACAACAAAAAAAAAACACTTTAAAATCTCATGGTGGGCCAGCTGGTGTCTCATGCCCGTAATCCTAGTTCCTAGTGCTTTTAGAAGCCAAGGTGGGAGGATCACTTGAGCCCAGTAGTCAGCAACACGACAATATCCTCTCTGTGGGATTATAGGCACACACACACACACACACACACAAAAAAAAAAAAAAAAAAAAAAAAAATCAGCTGGGTGTGGTGGTACGTGCCTGTAGTTCCAGCTACTCAAAAGGCTGAGGCAGGAAGGCAACTTGAGTCCAGAAGGCAGAGGCTGCGGTAAGACATGATTGCACCACCGCACCTCAGCTTGGGTGACAGGGTGAGACCCTGTCTCAAGAAACAAAAATAAACATTTTTTTTTAAAGCCCAGGGTACGCCGGGCACGGTGGCTCAAGCCTGTAATCCCAGCACTTTGGGAGGCAGAGGCGGGTGGATCACGAGGTCAAGAGATCGAGACCATCCTGGTCAACATGGTGAAACCCCGTCTCTACTAAAAATACAAAAATTAGCTGGGTGTGGTGGTGCACGCCTGTAGTCCCAGCTACTCGGGAGGCTGAGGCAGGAGAATTGCGTGAACCCAGGAGACGGAGGCTGCGGTGAGCCGAGATTGCGCCATTGCACTCCAGCCTGGATAACAAGAGTGAAACTCCATCTCAAAAAAAAAAAAAAAAAAAAAAAAAAAATGCAGCCCAGGGTACATGGTGGCTCACGTCTATAATCCCAGCACTTTGGGAGGCTGAGGCAGATGGATTGCCTGAGCTCAAAAGTTTGTGACCAGCCTGGAGACACATGATGAACCCCATCTTTACCAAAAATACAAAAATGTAGCTGGGTATGGTGGCATGCACCTGTGGTTCCAGCTACTCAGGAGGTTGAGGTAGGAGGATCACTTGAGCCTGGGAGGCAGAGGTTGCAGTGAGCCAAGATTATGCTACTGCACTCCTGCCTGGGCAACAAGTTAGAACCAGCCTTTTAAAAAAAAAAAAAAAGCCAGGTGCAGTGGCTCACGCCTATAATCTATAATCCCTGCACTTTGGAAGGCCAAGGCAGGTGAATTACCTGAGGTCAGGAGTTCGAGACCAGCCTGAGCAATGTGGTGAAACCCAGTCCCTACTGAGAACACAAACGTCAGCCAGGTGTGGTGGCTTGTGCCTGTAGTCCCAGCTACTCAGGAGGCTGAGACAGGAGAATTGCTTAAACCCAGGAGGTGGAGGTTGCAGTGAGCTGAGTCGCACCACTGCACTCCAGGCTGGGCAAAAGAGCCAGACTCCATCTCAAAAAAAGAAAAAAGCCCAGGATGCTAGGCACCAAAAAAGAATTTCTGACCTTGTGTTCATTATGACCTTCACAAGAGTCAAGTGGTGACGACGGCATGAGGGCAGAGGAAAAGTAGGGCTTAAGATAAACAACGAAGGAAATTAAGGCACCAGAGTCTAGTGCCTTTGCTGCCAAACTTAAGCCTAGTAGGGTTGGCAGCAAAACCAAAGCAAAGCTTGATAGCAAAGGAGGTAAAGATAGGAGAGAAGAAACTGAAGATGTCAAAGACAGATATAAAGCACATCATCTGCTTTAAAACAAATATTTTTTAAAAGTTCTGGAAAATGACGTTATAATATTCTCTGCTAAGAAGAATAAATTCTGCTAAACAACCGTAAGACTAGGGCTGGCTCCACTCAGATCTGCTTATTCCAACAAGACCAAGGTGCTAGCGCTAACTTCCAGTTGCCCCTCTGTATGGCTTCAGCGTTGTGCACAGTGGACTGACGGTTACAAGGAAGACTGGATGAGCGTGGGTGGGCTCACACAAAGCTTCCTACACTGCCTCAGCAAAAGAACCACCTGGTGCCGGGCGCAGTGGCTGATGCCTATAATCCCAGCACTTTGGGAGGCCGAGACGGTGGATCACGAGGTCAAGAGATCGAGACCATCCTGGTCAACATGGTGAAACCCCGTCTCTACTAAAAATACAAAAGTTAGCTGGGCACGGTGGTGCACGCCTGTAGTCCCAGCTACCCGGGAGGCTGAGGCAGGAGAACTGCTTGAACCCAGGAGGCGGAGGTAGTGGTGAGCCGAGATCGCGCCTTTGCACTCCAGCCTGGGTAACAAGAATGAAACTCCGTCTCAAAAAAAAAAAAAAAAAAAAAAACCACCTGGGACACTTGTTTAAAACTGATAGACTCCAGAGGGTGCCGTGGCTTACACCTGTGGTCCCCAGCACTTTGGGAGACTAAGGTGGCCGGATCACGAGGTCAGGAGTTAGTGACCAGCCTGGCCAATATGGTGAAACCCTATTTTTTCTATTAGAAATAGAAAAATCAGCTGGGCTTGGGGGCGGGCATCTGTAGTCCCAGCTTCTACGGAGGCGGAGGCAGAAGAATCGCTTGAACCTGGGAGGCGGAGGTTGTAGTGAGCTGAGATCATGCCACTGCATTCCAGCCTGGAGACAGAGTGAGACTCTACACTCCAGCATGGGCAACAACAGAGCGAGACTCCGTCTGAAAGACAAACAAACAAACAAAAACCACGAAAAATTCCCAGGGTCCATCTCTGCAGATTCTGATCCTGCCACTCCAGGAAGCTGTATTTTTCAACAAGTGAACCAGGTGATCATGAGTTTAAGAAATTAACACAAGTGGCCGGGTGCGATGGCTCATGCCTGTAATCTCAACACTTTGGGAGGTCAAGGAGGGCAGATCACGAGGTCAAGAGATCAAGACCATCCTGGCCAATATAATGAAACCTCATCTTGACTAAATACAAAAATTAGCTGGGTGTGGTGGTGCGTGCCTGTAGTCCCAGCCACTTAGGAGGCTGCAACAGGAGAATTGCTTGAATTCGGGAGGCAGAGGCTGCAGTTAGCTGAGATGGCGCCATTGCACTCCAGCCTGGCGCGTGGCGACAGAGCAAGAGTCTGTCTCACCAAAAAAAAAAAAAAAAAAAAAAGAAGAAAAAGAAAAGAAAAAGAAGAAGAGGAAGAAGAAAGAAGAAAAAAGAAATAATTAACACAAGTCCCTGTCACTGGAAAAGTATACCCGTCGGGCTGGCTCCTCCTCCACCCACCCCCCTCATCCCCGTACATTATGTTTACATGCATGTAAGAAATGGGCTTGGAGATTCTTGATTCAAACCCCAGTATCACACATCGGCCCCCAAAGGTCAAACATTAACAAGGAAGCTCACTGCCCTGGCCCAGACTTTTCTAGGTGACTTCCTCCTCCGGACTCTGCAGCAGTCTGACTAGTTATGAGGCACAAGCGGACCGCACGTCTTAACGCGGGAAAAACAGTTCCACCTGCAGGGACGCAGGACCGGGTTGAAGGAGCTGGAGTTGCGCCGCAGGGGTGTGCAAGCCCGTGAGGGGGGAGCCCGAGGCGCAGTCACCTCCGCCACCCTGGCATCCGGGCTGAGATGCAGGCGCCCGGAGGAGCGGTGCGCAGGCCCCGGGTAAGCCGAGGACACGAGCCAGGGCACGAGCGGACAACCTTCCGGGCACCGAGTCCTGGCGCCTGGACGCGCCTTCGTGAGAGGCCAGGCGGAACAGACTGGAGGCGGTGGGTAGCGGAGACCACCCCCGGGCGAAACCAAAGGAAAAAGAGGGGAACCCGGGGGTCCCGGGACGCTCAGGCACGCGCAGACGGGGAAGCCAGAGTCGCCCCGCAGCTGTCTCCTTACCTCACGGGCCCCCACGGGCTCCGCGCTCAGCGACAGCCCAGCGGGAGCCAGGCGCCAACCACAACGGTTGCCGGGGGTCGCCTCGGGCCGGAAAGCGGGGATCAGGGTTGGGAAAGGGGCGGGGCGAATTGAGCAAAAAGTTCCGGGGAAGCCGAGACCGCGACCTTCCGCGCTTTACGTCCCGCGGGCAAGGGTACGGCCGGCGCGTGACCTCAGCCGCGCACGAGCGCGCTGTGACGTAACCTCGGAGCCCCGCCCCTGCCACATGGGCTTGTTTGGGTCGCGCGAGGCACCGCCCCCAGAGGCGGGTTGTGGAGGCCTTTAACTCCGAGGGCCGTTTTAGAACCCAGGCCTGTGACCTGCGTGGTTTCTGCACGTGGAAGCGGAACGTCTGAGATGCTGCAAGCCCCGTGGAGTTTGGGGAGCGCGGGGGTTCTTTCTTCCCTCGAGGCCCGTGCCAAGGCTTGCCCGACACCCAGTGGGTCCGCGTCCTGAGCCACATCCAGTCCGAGAGGAAAAGACTTCTCACCCACTGGGGAGCGCTGCTCTGGGAAGTGGCGCAGGGCTTTCTTGGGCAAGGCTCTCGCGGAGCAGATCGGAAATCCATTCTGATGGTCCCCACCCCCCACCTCGGAGGCCGGACTAGCGGACCGGAGTTCCCGGCCCTATCTTAATCCCCAGTTTCTCAGCTTGGCTCAGCTCAGAGAAAGAGGAATCATTCACTCAAACCTCAGAGAAGATTCCACCTACCCCTTCCTCACCGTCACATCAGCCTTTTCTTTTTCTGAGACGGAGTTTTGCTCTGGTTGCCCAGGCTAGAGTGCAGTGGCGAGATCTCGGCTCACTGCAATCTCCGCCTCCTAGGTTAAGCGATTCCCCTGCCTCAGCTTCTCGAGTAGCTAGGATTACAGGCATGCGCCACCACGCCTGGCTACTTGTTTTGTTTTTTGTTTTTTTTTTGAGATGGAGTTTTGCTCTTGTTACCCAGGCTGGAGTGCAATGGCGCGATCTCGGCTCACCGCAACTTCCGCCTCCTGGGTTCAGGCAATTCTCCTGCCTCAGCCTCCCGAGCAGCTGGGATTACAGGCACGCGCCACCACGCCCCGCTGATTTTTTGTATTTTTAGTAGAGACAGGGTTTCACTATGTTTAGCAGGATGGTCTCGATCGCTTGACCTCGTGATCCACCCGCCTCGGCCTCCCAAAAGTGCTGGGATTACAGGCTTGAGCCACCGCGCCCGGCCTTACTTTTGTATTTTTAGTAGCGACGGGATTTCTCCATGTTGGTCAGGCTGGTCTCGAACTCCCAACCTCAGGTGATCTGCCCGCCTCGGCTTCCCAAAGTGCTGGGATTACAGGTGTGAGCCACCGTACCCGGCCCACGTCAGCCTTCTTTCCTTCCAGAACTCATCACTGTCCCAAAAATATAAGTTTGTCGACTGCCTTTCCCACTGGTGTTACATAGTCTCTGTCGACAGAACCTTAGTCTTATGCACAGATATCTTCTCAGCACCCAGAACAATGCCTGGCAAACATCCACTAAATATTATATGGATAAGGGTCTCATGGTGCAGCCACCATTGCATCTTGGACCCCACTATCCAGGTCCCGTTTGTTGGATTCAATACTGTCTCACCACAGAAGCCAATCTTGTGTTTTATTAATTTTTTTTCTTTTTGAGATGGAGTCTTCCTCTGTTGTCCAGGCTGGAGTGCAGTGGCATGATCTTGGATCACTGCAACCTCCGCCTCCTGGGTTCAAGCGATTCTCTTGCCTCAGCCTCCCGAGTAGCTGAGACTACAAGCGCATGCCACCACACCCGGCTAATTTTTTGTATTTTTAGTAGAGATGGGGTTTCACCATGTTAGCCAGGATGGTCTCGATTTCCTGACCTTGTAATCCACCTGCCTCAGCTTCCCAAAGTACTGGCTTTACAGGCGTGAACCACCGGTGCCTGACCGTTTTATTAATTTAAAAAAAATTTTTTTTTAGAGATGAGGAGGTCTCACTATGTTGCCCAGGCAAGTCGTGAACTCCTGGCCTCAAGTGATCCTTCCATATTAGCCTCCCAAAGTGCTGGGATTACAGGTGTGAGCCACTGTGCCTGCCCCAATCTTGTGTTTTATTGCAGGCCACCTGTGTTTTATTTCGGGGCACTGTGCAGGATGATGGGATCCAGCAGTGTGAAAGAAAGAGGGGGCTTCTGCTCTTAGGGAGTGGCAGTCAAGTTCCAGGGACTCCTCTGTCACCAGGCCAGGCCACAGCCTACCTAGTTTATACCCCACTTGCCAGTCAACTCACACAAAGACAGCCCAGATGAGGTCTGACTGCCAAAGGACTGAAACTATGCCATAGGCTCCTGTAGTACTTTTACATTTCACTTAAGATTTAATCTTAGGCCGGGCGCGGTGGCTCAAGCCTGTAATCCCAGCACTTTGGGAGGTCGAGGCGGGTGGATCACGAGGTCAAGAGATCAAGACCATCCTGGTCAACATGGTGAAACCCTGTCTCTACTAAAAATACAAAAAAAATTAGCTGGGCATGGTGGTGCGTGCTTGTAATCCCAGCTACTCAGGAGGCTGAGGCAGGAGAATTGCCTGAACCAAGGAGGCGGAGGTTGCGGTGAGCCGAGATCGCGCCATTGCACTCCAGCTTGGGTAACAAGAGCGAAACTCCATCTCAAAAAAAAAAAAAAAAAGATTTAATCTTGGGGGCCGGGCGCAGTGGCTCAAACCTGTAATCCCAGCACTTTGGGAGGCCGAGGCGGGTAGATCACGAGGTTAAGAGATCAAGACCATCCTGGTCAACATGGTGAAACCCCGTTTCTACTAAAAATACAAAAACTTAGCTGGGCATGGTGGCACGTGCCTGTAATCCCAGCTACTCAGGAGGCTGAGGCAGGAGAATTGCCTGAACCCAGGAGGTGGAGGTTGTGGTGAGCCGAGATCGCGCCATTGCACTCCAGCCTGGGTAACAAGAGCGAAACTCCATCTCAAAAAAAAAAAAAAAAAAAAAAAGAAAAGAAAATATTTAATCTTGGGGACACCTACCTGCCTAAAAAAAGAGAAAAGGCTGACTGACTTGAGGCATTCTCTGGGAAGGATTTCCTGATGCCCAGATGTGGCAATTTCATGAAAAAAAGTCATAGGTTTTCTTCATGAACCATTTGGTTCAAGCAATTTCCAAGCACATTAATTTGAGAGAAACCTGGTTGTCTGCAGGAGATAGTGGATGAAATAAAGTGATACTTGATGTGTTTATTTCCTTCTGTTTACATGCAGTAAGTATCGAACAAATGGTATAGATCGGTCCCTGATTTCCTTCTCCATCACTATGATTGGCCTCCACTGGAGGTCTGGCCAGGTGTGGTGGCTCACACCTGTAATCCCAGCACTTTAGGAGGCGAAGGTGGGAGGATCCCTTGAGAACAGGAGTTTGAGACCACCTTGGACAATATAGTGAGATCCCAACTCCTTTTTTAAAAAATTAGTTAAAAAATAAATAGGCTGGGTGTGGTGGCTCATGCCTGTAATCCCAGCACTTTGGGAGGCCGAGGCAGGTGGATCACCTGATGTCAAGCGTTCAAGACCAGCCTGACCAATATAGTGAAACCCCATTTTTGTAAAGATACAAAAATTAGCTATGCGTGGTGGTACATGCTTGTAATCCTAGCTACTTGGGAGGCTGAGAAAGGAGAATTGCTTGAACCTGGGAGGCAGAGGTTGCAGTAAGCCGAGGTTGTGTCATTGCACTCCAGCCTAGGTGACAGAGCAAGACTCTGTCTCAGATAAATAAATAAATAAATAAGTAATAAAATCTTAAGTTCTAAGGCCATTTTTATTGTCAGTGATGGGTCTTGTCCTTTCTAGGTTCTTTTAACCACTGATGTACTATTTTTCAAGGGGGTTGAGTGTTTTATTTTTTTGAGATGGAGTCTCACTCTGTTGCGCCCAGGCTGGAGTTTAATGGTGCGGTCTTGGCTCACTGCAACCTCTGCCTCCCAGGTTCAAGTGATTCTCCTGACTCAGCCTCCCCAGTAGCTGGGACCACGGGTGCCTGCCACCACACCTGGCTAATTTTTGTATTTTTAGTAGAGATGGGGTTTCACTATGTTGGCCAAGCTGGTCTCAAACTCCTGACTTTGTGATCTGCCCGCCTCTGCCTCCCAAAGTGCTGGGATTGCAGGCGTGAGCGACCATGGCTGGCCAGAGTGTTTTCATTTTTGTTGTTGTTCTATGCCCCCTGCTTCTTTTATTTTTATTTTTTGAAATTGGCTCTCGTTCTGTCCCCCAGGCTAGAGCGCAGTGGTGTGATCACGGCTCACTGCAGCCTTGACTTCCTGGGCTTTAGTGATTCTCCCACCTCAGCCTCCTGAGTAGCTGAGACTGCAGGCACGTGCCACCACCTCCAGCTAACTTTTCTATTTTTTGGTAGAGATGGGGTTTTGCAAGCCGGGCGCGGTGGCTCAAGCTGTAATCCCAGCACTTTGGGAGGCTGAGGCGGGTGGATCACGAGGTCAGGAGATCGAGACCATCCTGGTCAACACGGTGAAACCCCGTCTCTACTTAAAAAAATACAAAAAATTAGCTGGGCATGGTGGCGCGTGCCTGTAATCTCAGCTACTCAGGAGGTTGAGGCAGGAGAATTGCCTGAACCCAGGAGGCGGAGGTTGCGGTGAGCCGAGATCGTGCCATTGCACTCCAGCCTGGGTAACAAAAGCGAAACTCCGTCTCAAAAAAAAAAAAAAAAAAAAAAAGAGATGGGGTTTTGCTATGTTGCTCAGCTGGCAGGCTGGCATCAAATCCTGAGCTCAAGAGATCCACCTGCCTTGGGCTCCCAAAGTGCTGGCATTAGAGGCACGAGCCACCATGCCCTGCCCTAAACAGATGTTTTAATTACCCTTGTCAAGTCCTCTTGTGAAATCTTCATCTGCAGTGACTTGGCAAATGTATTTGCCACCACACAGAATAAACAGTGTACAGACAACAGTTTGACATTCTTGTGTCAGTACAGTGTAAGAATGAATTTTGATCTGAGGTCCCTAAGATGCAGGCATTTATCTTACTTCCCTGCAGCACTGCCATGGCTGTGGGGAAGGTCTCCCTCCTCCCTCTGAAATTCTTGTCGCTGTTATTAGACTGAACACCTGCCTACAACTGACTTCACAGGAAGGACCTGCCACCTGGC